TAATATTATACTTAACTAATTTACTTTTGATTCTTTCAAAAATATTCGTAACGTAAGGAATTTATAAGCAGTACTGTCAATTGGTTGTTTGTGTGCATTAACATATTTTTTATTAAGCCAGTTACTAATCATGCGCTTGCTATAACCGTTCAATAAGTATGTTTTTATGATGTCTTCGATTTCATTGGATATATCGGTATCATATGTGGTACGTTGCATAATTTTATCCAAGTACATGTAGAAAGTATTCTTTTTTATATAAGTTGGTACTTCAGATGTAAAGTGTATGACGCTGTCAATAGTACAAGGTTTTTTATATTTTTTAAAGGTTGTTTTGTCTTTGTGTCTCGTGACGAGAATGTCTAAGAATGGTAACTGACAGTTGCATTCAGGTTCTAAGTCAAATTTAATGTCATTATCTATTTTATTTACGTGTTCCAGAATTTTATCCGCCTGTATGATGTTGTCATCATATATGAGAAAACAGTCGTCGACGTAACGGTACAGTTCTATTATACCCTTGATATTGACAACGTCATGATCGATATTGCACATACTTAATTCAGCAAGGATTGGTCCTATTATTGAGCCCATGGGGATACCATCGCATTGTCTAAAGAATCTTTTTTGGCTGACAAAATAATTATTTTCCAACACAAGAGTTACCATATCTATGATCCATTGCTGACAGTTTTGGGTTTTTAATGTAGCTAATATTCTGTTGCGTTTAATGGACGGATACATGCTGCGTACGTCCAAGGAGGCAATCCTGTAGGTGGGCTCGAACTTTAAAGTTTTGAGTTTTTGTATAAAGTAGTCAGTGCACTGTATGCTATAAGGGGATTTAACGAGGGTGTTTAGTTTTTCTTTTAAAATAAGTTCTAAATTATAAAAGATATATCCTTTTATATCTACCAGAGGTCTATAGGAGACTGGAACTTTATGGGTTTTAACCCTGTAAGAGAACTTGGGTGTTCTGTTTTCAGTATTGAGAATAAAATGTTTTTCTGTTTGGCTAATAAGATTTTGTTTCTCAAGGTTAACAATTGCCTTTTTTAATTTTTTGTTAAGAAGGTTAGTTGGATCATTATGCAGTTCAATGTACGTATTTTGATTCAACAGTTGCTTGTAGATGTCTGCGTCTACAATGGGCTCAATAATAGGACCAATCCTTGCTGAATTAAGTATGTGCAATATTGATCATGACGTTGTCAATATCAAGGGTATAATAGAACTGTACCGTTACGTCGACGACTGTTTTCTCATATATGATGACAACATCATACAGGCGAATAAAATTCTGGAACACGTAAATAAAATAGATAATGACATTAAATTTGACTTAGAACCTGAATGCAACTGTCAGTTACCATTCTTAGACATTCTCGTCACGAGACACAAAGACAAAACAACCTTTAAAAAATATAAAAAACCTTGTACTATTGACAGCGTCATACACTTTACATCTGAAGTACCAACTTATATAAAAAAGAATACTTTCTACATGTACTTGGATAAAATTATGCAACGTACCACATATGATACCGATATATCCAATGAAATCGAAGACATCATAAAAACATACTTATTGAACGGTTATAGCAAGCGCATGATTAGTAACTGGCTTAATAAAAAATATGTTAATGCACACAAACAACCAATTGACAACACTGCTTATAAATTCCTTAAAATTCCTTACGTTACGAATATTTTTGAAAGAATCAAAAGTAAATTAGTTAAGTATAATATTATTCTGGTACCCGAACATCGCAACAGCTTACATAAGGAAATAAACGTACCTAACAGGAAAGCTAACATATGGGACCAAAAAAACGTTGTTTACAAATTTGAGTGCGACTGTACCACACCCAAATCTTACATTGGTGAAACTAGTAGGGAATTAAAGGTCCGTTTCAATGAACATATCTCTGCCATAGCACACAACAATGATAGCTCGGCTGTAGCCGCCCACTGTAATAATGAAGGCTGTCAGATTGTAAAGGATACTGTCAAAATACTTAGAAAGGAACCAAATACTTATAAAAGAAGATGGTACGAACACTTAGAAATAATTAAAAACAAAGAGAAAATCATGAATAATAACTCTGGCCAAAAATTACATGAATCGTGGTACGCATATTTGACCAGAGGAGGCGTGGGGGGAGGGGAGAGGTGTGAAAACGGATAGGGGTGAGGGTGACAGTCACCCTGGAATGTACTTCGAATCGTCTTCTTACTCTGTTCGTGTTACTGTGAATTTACTTATCATTTTGTTAACAATGTATATTTTTATAACTTTACTGTTTTACCAGTACCTCTGTTTATTATTACGTTATTGCACCAACATTACCGTTTTTAACGAGAAATCTTGTATATCGTATGCTTAATCTTTTAATTAATGTTCAACGCGTCGAACCCACATGTCAAATGTAAGTCCACATTTTTGTTCATTTATGTCAATCACGGCCTTTTTATAAAATTGTTAACCTCCTATTAATTTTTGTAGCAAATAGCTGATGAGGGACTCTATGTCCGAAATGCATTCTGAAAATAAAATAGTGTTTTTCTAAATCTAATTTGATGTCCTGTGGTGGTGTAATAAGTCTAGAAGTAAAGTAAAGCCAATCTTAGCGCTCACTAACCATAGATTAGGATGTTTCAAATTTTTACAAGATATTATTATTGTTTATTGTGAAATTTTGCCGCCCCCTAAAAAGTGCCGCCCGGGCGGGCCGCCCCTGCCGCCCCCACTACGGTACGCCACTGTGTTTTGGAACTCTCTAGGCAGGATGCTGGGAGATCAAATGAAAAACGTGAAAAAAGTAGTTGTTTGACACTGAGCTAGTGTCTAGTGACTTTTCTGTTAGATTTTCAAGTGAAGTATTTGTTTATTGTCTTTAAGTGTTATGATATACACTTTAGATATCACAAGTTATGTAGCATAGACAGAATAGCTGTTCATATACTATGTTTACAGTGATTGTTGTCCTGTTGCTCACCCATCAAGGTGAGCAATAGGACATTCCATACACATTACAAGATGTTGGGTTTCAGTCTGACCATATTTGTGTGACAAATGTTTGCTGTTACTGATCCCAGATTGCTGCACAAGTCCTCATAAATTCTTGTGTTATCTGTCCACACAATGTTGGCATATATTGTGTGTTGTTATTTTTGGCTGACCTTGAATTTAAACACACTTTGACAACCATGACGCCCATCCTCTTAAATTGCAACTGGTTATTCAATGACAATAAGCAAAATTTGTGCTCACTCTTGTCATCTCCCTGAAAAATGCCCAAAGTTGAACTCATTTTGCCACCTCCACATTACTGCACTGACCAACCCGTTAGGTTGATCTTGATGCATTTGTCTTATGTCAAAATCGTCCAGAAACAGAAAAACCTGAAGACAAATGCATCAAGAATCAGTTCATGACTTATGGGATGCACTATAGAACAAAGAATTTTGATAGTTTTTACCAAAATTTATGATGATGCATGAAATCCTCACTAATTCAAACTCAGATAGTTCAAATTCCCATTAGTTTGTAACTATATTATTTGTCCTGGCCGAGGATGTAGAGATTTACACATTATAGAATTTGGTAAGTTCGAAATATGGCTACTTTGAAATTCAAAATGAAAATTCTGTCCAAACTATGTTGTGTATATGTAAACTCATTCATTTAGACCAAAGTGCACTGCACTGTACTGTAAGAGGAGAATAAACCAAGAACAACGCTAATCAGGTGAATGTGGTTTTACTTTTGCAGTAACACATTTTAGTGTCACCTTACCCATGGACTACCCTTTTCTCTCTTATCTCTTAAAATACGACTGGGTTTTGGGATTGCAAGATCAAGTTACAAGTAGCAGATTGAAATATTCATAGGGCTCTAGGCTACTAGATTTGGGTGACTTAGTACTTTTCTGGCTACATTGAGGAATTCCAATTTACTTTTTATATAACCTATCTGGCAATCTGCGAGGTTCTCACTGAACACTTGCTTTTTATCTGCAGTTTAATAATTATAAATAAATAATGAAAATAGCATTCTGTATACATATCATTTATTAAGCAAACAAAATATGGCTGTCAGTTATGTGGAATTTGGCATGTTGTACAGAAATATGTAAATCTCAGATAATTCTGTCATGATTATTTTGTCCCTCAAATTTCAAACTAATGAGGATTTCCTGTAATTTGTGGGGGAAGAAACATTCCTGAATCATCTGTACCTACAAGAATATAGCAAATTTTTAATAGGTGATGATGTACAGGGTCTATGTGTAATGAAAAAAAAAATAGTTGTTATAAACAAAAAGTTAACTGAGACATTCAGATGTACTTAGAAATTAGTCTCAAGAAGTCTTCAAGACTGGATTATCTTGTGAATCTGTTCATATAACTGTTAGAGTCAAATTTCAGACTTACAATAATGATATATTTATTTATTTAGAATTTCAAATATTACCCCTAAATTCTGTATTAAATAAAAATGTAAATCTTGAACACTCTTCTCTTGACACATGGCAGGGTAATAATAAGCACAACTGACTCACAGCAACACCAGAATCCTCACTTTATTTCTTCTGAGCAAACTTTTCCTTTGATCACCTAGTAAATACAAACTTGGTAATTATTAATTAATAAATTTAAGATTAGAATTATATTAATAATTCTAACATATGCATATTGCCAGATTATAAATCATCATCATTTACTTCTATACGTCTAGTTTGGCTTATATGTAATTTTGGCAATATTGAGCAACATAAAATGTGTTTATATAAGCTTAATTTTTATCAAGTCAAAATACATAAAATTATACATAAACTGAATCTTGCCAATGATTTTTATTTATTTAAATAAAAATAATCATCATTCCTTCATTAACTTAATGCATGAATAAAGTTGAATATTCTTACTTCTTTTTTAATATTTTCTTAAGTCATTATGAACATATAATTCTTATCGTATGGCATAAATTATTTTAGGGTTGGCATTTCATGAAGATCTGTCTGAACCAGTTTTAAAATCTAAAGCTCTTGAAATATTAAAAATGGTTGAGAATGAAGCAAAAGGGGTTGAAGAAAATGCATCTGTATGTCTAATTGGTGGATTTCGCAGGTAAATATCTTATTGTAATAGTGTTTTGTCTACAAGTTTCTTATATTTTATGATGTGATATGCATCAGAAATTGTGTGCGAAGTTTTTATTTATTGTCATGGAAATACTTTTGAGGCTCTCAAGTTGCTTGCAAGAGCTGTATTCTGAGACGAGTCTCTCGTACAAAGTTATGTGAGCCACCATTGCCTGTCACAAATTTTGCTCTAATATACACAAGCTTTTACATTAAAATAAATTGCAAACTTAACATAATAGTCACATTGAAAAACTATAACATTTTCAAATATTTATTTGCTTCAAATATAGTCAGGTTACAATCATAATTCCTGTCAAACTGATTTGTGTGTATCAAATACAGATTTGTCAAGATTTAATAACAGATTATGTGAAAAACAAATCAAGAAGAATTATTGCAATATCAAAAGAATACTCAAAGATCAAAGTTTGGGTCATGCCACTAACAAAAATAGTCAAAACTATATTACTGTTAATAATGGTGGATTGTTTTTGTATTACGGTGTAACCCATGTGGCAATAGCTTCGACTGAAGGTAATAGTGGGCCCAGATTTTTCTTAGATACAGAAACTGCAAGTTTGCAAATTGTTGTCACCAAATCTTCATATAAATATTGAAGAAATTTCTTAATAAGGATACAGTATGTAGAACATTTACTGATTATATTTTATTGGAAAATTAAACTTATTTTATGATTGCATTGAGTTATCATCATTTACAAATATTAATTTGAAAAATAAGTTTTTTAAACATTATCCAGTTGACAAAAAAACTCATTATATAGATATGTTCATAATTAAACTAAATTATTTCTTCATTCTTATATGTACTGCTTAGTTTTATACATAAATTATTATAAATCTAATAATACACCCAGATTTTAATTGGACTGTGGTTATACCACGTGTATAGGGTGACCACAAGTATTGTTTTTTGTGGTATCCTGTCCATTCTACCATTCTAGTAAAATTTTCAGTTTTTTTAATTATTCTGTATTCATTAAACTTCAGAATGGAGTTAGATAGGTAAAAGTTGAAATCAGATAAGGAAAGCTTAGGGAGTAGGAGGCCCTGATTAACGATATACGAACTTTCAGTTTGCACCAGGAGTCACATTATTTCAATTCAGAAATTTTTCCCCGAACAGAGTTAGACAGATAACCAGAAAAGTATGATATACAGAAGCAAGACACTACTAAAATCGAGAACACTGATATCATATTGCAGTCCAGCATTGTGATGACGCAACAATAAATAATTACTCTTTTTTTTTTCCTTTCCTTTTCAGAGGTAAAACTGAAGGCCATGATGTTGATATTTTAATCTCTCATCTAACTGAAGGAAAAGAAATCGGTTTACTTTCAACTATACTGAAAAGGTTGAAAGAGAGAAATCTTGTTTTGTACGGAGGAATCGAAAGGTTTAACACGCAAGATCCGATGCAGTTTGTATCCAACACTTCTATAGATAATTTTGAAAAATGTTTTCTGATATTTAAGGATTTTGGTGAAGAATGTCATGATACAGTTTCAGAAATTGCAGGTACATTTTATTTTAATATACCATTTTATTATTTTATAACTATTTAGTCATAATTGTTCAATACTTTGACAATTCACAGGCTGAAAATTAGTTAAAAAATTCAGTGACATATATCATATATTTATCTCAAGTATATAACAATCCTTTGTATTTACATATTAGGTAAAAGGTTTGAGTCACAACCAGAAGGAGACCCTCACATTTTCTAGACTGTTGGGCATATGAAGAACCAACTGGGGGCTTGATCTAATGTCCATTCCTCACCCCCCCATGGACAACCTGGCAGTAGATAGCCAATTAACTGGGCTATCAAAGTGAACAGGCCACCATTATAGGATTAACCAAGCATAATTGATCTCTTTATTGGTTAAAACTTTTAAACATGGTAAATCAAATCAACAAAGTCTTTGCCACGTTGGTCAGGGAAGTAGGACACACAGCACTAAATATGCTACTGGAACACAAATCAGGTTGGTATCATCAATGTTAGAAGTCTGAATGGAAAGGAAGTACAGCTAGCTGAAGAACTAGAAAAGTATAATGTACTGTACAAATAGCAGGTGTCACTGAAACTAAGAAAACCTAAATAACAAATATAAGTTGATCTACTCAGTGAATGATGCTCAATGCAAGGAGAGTGTAGCGTAGCATTTACATCTGCTATGGAAGATAATCTTATAGAATGGGAAGCACTCTAGCAGAGTCATCTGGGCAAAATTTAAAAATAGCAAACTGGATAATGAGATTCATCTGTGTCCATGGACCTACTGAAGGATCAAAGAAGGAAGATGTAGAAGTATTTCATGACATTCTGGGATCAGCAGTAGAGACAAATACTAATGAAAAATACCGTATATTTGTGCAGATAAGATGACCTTCAGATAAGACCAGATATAAATTTTCATCAAAGTTTTATAGTTTAGCATATATCTATCCTATAAGATGACCCCCAAACTATCAAACTATTCATAATTTTTTGAAAGAACTTCAAATTTTATTTTCTTGAATCTGGCAGCACTGCCTTGTGATTCACACTGATTTGGGCATTTGGGTAATGATCTTGACTATTCACAAAAACGTCACATGGGGCTATTTAAATACATTGGTGAGTGATTTGTTTTATTTTATGGTTTTAATTTATATAAATTTCAACTATCTATTTCTTTTTATCTGTCCTATAAGATGACCCCGGATTTTGGTTGTATTTATGATTCAACTATTGTCTTATCTGTGCAAATATACAGTAGTTCTAGCTGGAAATCTTAATAGTAGAATGAGAAATGACAACATCTATGGCAGCATTTTAGGTAAGTTTGGTAAGAAAAAACCTAACAATGCCAAAAGACTGCTTGAGTTCTGTGCTCGTCACTCACTAATGCTTATTAATACAATATTCCAACACAGAGTCACATGGAGAGAACACACTAGAAATCTGAAAAGCATAACTGAATATTATTGTAAAGAAGGACATTAAAGACTCTGTCTTCAAATAAATGGATAGAGGTTTTAAAAATGATAGTGATCATCATCTTGTACCAAGAAAATTAAAAACAGTTATCAATATTAGGAGGAGGAATGTGAAAAATCCGAGGAAACTGTACAATCAACAAAAATAGTATGTTGGGAAGTCGTTTGCAAAGGTGGGAAGGTTAGAACTCCATGGTGGATCAAAGAGGTTAGACAAGTGGTACAAGAGAAGAAGGCAACTTATAAAAGATATATAGCAAATAAGACCACAAGCAAATCTGTTAGAATATAAAGCTAAATGTAAGACACCTAAACTGTGTAAATATGGCTAAACAAAGATGCTGGAAAAATATTTTGGAACAAATAGAAAGCAAGTATAAAGAGGGGGCAAATGTTCCAGTGATTAGTAAAGAATCTCAGAACCGGTGGGAATACTGTAGCTAGAGAAATAAAGAATGATAAAGATGAAATTATAACAAAAGAAAAAAATATTTATAGGTATGGAATAAACACTTTGAACAGGTACCGAAAGAAGGAGTGACAGATTTAACTGAAGAACAGAAAAGTACCGAAATTTTGGAAGTGTCAGATCCTATCTGTTTTAAAGTGGATAAGGCTGCCGGTGTAGATAATATCGGACCAGAGATGCTAAAGTATGGGGGAATAACAGTAGTACAGTGGTTACATCATATTATTCAAAGATGTTGGTCTGTTCCATAGGATTGGGGAAGAGGTTTAATTGTACCAATTCATAAAAAAGGAAGTAAAACAGAATGTTGTAATTATAGAGGAATCTCACTCCTCAGTGTATGAGCTAAAATTTATGCCAGCATTTTAGAAAAACAGTCAGACGAATAGTTGATAATAACCTAGGAGAAAAACAGACAGGCTTTAGACCAATAGCGTAAATATTTGATCTTGGCATCATGTAAGGCAATTGACAGAGAAAGCATGGGAATATAACAAGGAACTATACTTGGGGTTTGTTGATCTGGAGAAGGCATTTCATAGAGTTTAAGAAATGTGCATTAAGGATACTCTACTCGGGGGAATCTAAAGCTGTATAGGAACTGCAAATCAGCTGTAAGGATGGAAGGACAAATAGGTGACTGGTTCCAAGAAAAACTAGGGTGAGGCAGGGATGTGCATTGTCCCTTTATTATTCATAAATTTCATGGATAATTTAACACAAGAATCAAAAATATTGGCAAACTTCAGTTTGGGAAATATAAAAATTGGTTTCTTTACTCCATGCAGACATTGTTGAACTAAGCAATAAACACAAGGACCTCCACCAGTCTTTAAATAATTTAGAGAAAAGTTGCAGGAATTTTAGTATGGCTATTAGTAGATAGAAAGATACTTTGACAGTTAAACTTGATAACTTATTGACTTGTTTTAGGCATACTTCAGAACAATCTTTACTGAAGATGGAAAGTTAGATTTGGAAATTGGAAATAGATTAAACAAGGTAGGTCAGGCAGGGAACCAATTGATCAAATATATCTGGAACAAGAAAGAAGTATGTCATAAGACAAAATTAGCTGTGTACTACAGCTTTTAAACATATATTCACAAGTGGTTCTGAGAGTTGGGTGAAAAATAAGGGAATTGACCAAAATTTAGAAACAGCAGAAAAAGTTTTTAGAAAATGATTATTGGTGTTAATATCAATAGATGAATACAGTGGCAAAATCATATTGAAATGAAGACGTAAGGATAAGAAATAATAGAGAGGTTGAGGCGCACGTTTTAAACGTGTAAACGTGTACGTGTGACGTTCGGCGCCGCTTTCCCGTAAGCCTAAAAGTTTGACAATGGTGTTCGGATAGTCGGTGGAATCACGCTCGACATTCCAAACACCATCGTCAAACTTTTAGGCTTACGGGAAAGCGGCGCCGAACGTCACACGTACACGTTTACACGTTTAAAACGTGCGCCTCAACCTCTCTATTCAGTTGAGAGTAAGCGAGGCTAATCCAAGGTGGTTTTGGCCATTTGGAAAGAATAGGCGAAGTCGTCTGGCTAAACAGGTATTCAAAGCTAAAATCAAAGAGAAAAAACCAAGATGAAGGTGGATTGATAGTATTAAGCAGGCTTTAGAGGAAAGGAATTTAACTTTAATCCAGGCTAAAAAGTTGTCTGTTGATGGGAGGGTTTGGAAAAAAGTGGATGGTAGTATAAAAGTTTGATTTTTTTTTCACTACATTGACTTGTACATCCTCTTGATATCAGCAGGAATGGATGTTGATGTAAATACAAACCAGGATTCCATCTTGGCCGAATACTAACTCTTAAAAAAGTCAGCTTGTTTCTTTGACACGAATGTAGACTTTAAAAAAAAAACTCTGTTGACGTCTTCATGAGATTTTGTGATATCAGTACATATTTAAATGGATGCATTCGTCACATGCATTAAGAATATGGCTGATTCAACATTTTTGCCAAACCTGTAAAAAAGAAGGACCATAATCAGTGTATCTACTCTAAACATAAAGAATCACCAAACTGCGACAATATTTGAATAATAAAATCTCTCAATGAACTTAACCTAATGTTTTTATCTTCACGACTAGGTGCATAGACAGACACAGGGCGTTTCTACATCATCTTTTATAATATAAACCTATTTATATTATAATAGGTTTGTAATAAACATTTTGTAATATAAGAAATTCATGATATGTTTTATGAATGTGTGTTATTATGTAGCCGACAGATGAGGGGCTTATGCCCGAAATACGTATTGGCCTATAGGATATTCTGAGTAAAGATGATGTAGAAATGCCCTGTGTCTGTCTATGCACCTAGTTGTGAAGATAAAAACAGATAAAAGAAGACAGTTTCAGAATACACAAGATTTTAATCTGTTACTTTTGTACTTTCATGTTATGAATCAAAACTAGTTAAACTGTTTTTTGAAAATGTCACAAAAAATTGTCTACGAGTGTTTTCTACCTTTTTTAAAAGATGCAATAATTTCTTGGGAATGGCTGGTTGTGTTTTTAAAAAGTTTCTATTCCACACTTGCCAATTGTTTTGAATTTTAGGGACTGCTTAGAAGTGAGCATTCAGATTGTAGATTACAAAATGAAGGAACTATTTTGAAAAGGTAAAATAAAGAAAATATTACAGATGTATCTTTTCCAAAATACTATTTTCAAGACAGTAATTGACTGAATATTGAAAACTGACTTAGTTTTGGAGAGAGATTTTTTGAATGCATCTTGTTAATTTCTGAGAAACAACTTAGGAGCAAGAAGTTGGAGGACAAGTCAGGAGAGACAAAAAGGGGTCTTGCATACTTGAATAGAATTACATCAGTAAAGACACTCAAGTGGAATTTAGAACAAAAGAAAACGTGAAGGTATTCGGACAGAGTTTTTTGACGCAAATAACATCCACAAAGAATTAAGGTAGAGAAATGAGGATTATTAGAAGAATGCAATGTAAATCTTGTAATTCTTGAAGTTTTACACCAGAGAAATTAAGTCACATGGTTTTTTTTTAATTAAGTGGGAAATCAACCCATCCACATGTGCACATACCTTTACTGTCATTTTTACAGTTTCTCAAGATTATAAACAGCCCTTTCAAATTTATTTAGGTTTTGAGTTTAAAATACTTAAGTTTCACAAATGCTTCTTAAAATTAATTTGTTTAAAATACTTTTTCCCTCAGATGGAAGCAATTTAGAATTTCTACTGAAAATGGCATCACAGCCAAGAAGTTGGACGGCGAGAAGAGTCGATCTGGTGATTGCGCCCCACTCCCAATTTTATTTTGCATTAGTCGGTTGGACAGGCAATAAACATTTTGAAAGAAGCCTGAAGAACTATGCCAGAAAGGAAAAGAACATGAAGCTTACCAGTAATGGATTGTATGATTTTACCAAAGTACGACATCGTTTCTTAAACAAATAATAATTTAGCGATTCCAATCTAATGCCACTTTTATTTCTAGGACAGGTTGTTGCCTGCGTCATCAGAAGAGGAAATATTTAGGCACTTGGAGCTGCCTTACTATGAACCTTATTATAGAAATGCATGAAGTAATGTACAGTACTCCGTTTTAATTTGGGCACTTATTTTTATAATGAAATTTTTGTACGTAAACAAATTCTTAAATACCATTGTTGATTATATTGGTTAAAATTTATTTTTTTACAATTAAAAATCAGTTTTGATATAATCCAATGAATTACTGTGATGTAAGGTTAACTAAATACATGTAAGAGTACAGAACTGTCATAATTTCTAATGTAAAGCTTCTGTATATCCGAACGTGCAGATGAAAAACCAGCAGATCTGTCCTGTGTGTTTGTGTTCTCAAGCCTTGTAAACTCAACATACATATCTTACAGAGAGACTAACATGCAGAATTTATATAAATTATCGTTTGAATTATTTTCCAAAAACTGTAATGTATAGCCTAACAAATTACGCTCATATTTACAAACCTAGTGAATCTCTCACAAAATTTGTAGGCTAGCATATGCTCTGAACACATTTGCATGGTGCACCAATGAAACATTACTTTAAAACTTTTATTGATAAATACAGTAGAGTCCCATAAAGCAAGCAAGCAACACCCTTGAATTTTGTCTATCAGAGGTATACGTTTTTTTCAACTTGCAGGCCAAGGTTTAAACTCTCATAAATCATGTGATAATGCAGGTTTCAATAACGAGATTTCCTATAATGCATAATGAATTCCCCGCGTTGTATGAGACTACTGTATTAAGATTTTTGTTGAATAAATACAGCAATTCAAGGAGTGTTATATATCAAGCTATAATTTTGTTTATAATAATTATAAATTAGATTAAACTGGAAGAAAATAATAATTAAAATTATTTAATTTAATACAAGATAGTGCCTCTCTCTAGGGTCAAATTTATTAGTAATTTGTAATTTATAATTATTATATCCCAATGATATATAGCAGTTGAAGGAGTGTTATTGGGATGTTTATAGATAAATACTAAGTTGGCAACCTTTAATTGCTTATATATTGTATGCATTTGTTTTATAAAATAGAAACCAAAAGAAAATTAAAGACAAGAATTAAAGAACATATATATACCATTAAAAATAATTTAATATCATTATCAGTGGCACAACATTATAATTTCAAACCCCCTTCATTATTACAAAGATGTTCTTGTGATTTTTTTGTCAGTATAAATTTAACACTATGTAGAAATTTTGAAGGTGCATGATATTGATAAAATGAATAATGTGGAACTGAGACTACATGAGGGGTGGAACGACATCATATTACAGAACTTCAGAACAAGGCAAAACAAGATGTTGGAGTGAAAGTCCCGTCGTATTAATAGTAAAGGAATTTGTATAAGGGCCTTGAATAAGTTCTCACTGTTCTTTAACAGATGACGTTTCCAGAACCACGTGTGTTTATTTTTAGATGGTGACGCATCTGTAAGGAAGTACAATAAGCGACCTTGAAATTCAGTATATGTCATTTCACCGAAGTGTAAACAACTTATTTTTTCATTGTGTTAAACATGTCTAGTTTCGTGCCAAAAAAAAGTATTTGTGGGGAATTTTAATGCACTATTTTATTTTTAAAAAATCTGCAGCTGAAGCGCACAGAATTCTTGTTGAGACTTACGGCGACCATGCTCTGTCAGAAACAACATGCAGAGATTGGTTTAGACGCTTCAAAAATAATGATTTTGATGTTGAAGATAAAGAACGATCTGGTGCACCAAAAAAGTTTGAAGACAAGGAATTAGAGGCATTACTTCATGAAGACTCATGTCAGATGCTAGCTGAACTTGCAGAAACATTAGGAGTTGATCACACAACAGTTTTGAAACGTTTAAAAGGATTAGGAATGATTCAAAATCAAGGACATTGGGTGCCGTACGAGTTGAAGCCAAGAGATTTCAAACGGCGTCTTTTCACATGTGAACAGCTGCTTCAATGGCAGAAAAGGAAAGGTTTTCTGCATCCTATCGTGACAGGTGACAAAAAATGGATACACTACGATAACCCTAAGCGTAGAAAATCGTGGGGTAAGCCCAGCCATGCATCAACATTGTCAGCAAGGCCAAATATCCATGGTTCAAAGCTTCTGCTCTGCATTTGATGGGATCAGCTAGGTGTAGTTTATTACGAGCTGCTCAAACCAAACGAAACCATCACGGGAGATTGCTATCGACTACAATTGATGCGTTTGAGCCAAGCATTGAAGGAAAAATGGCCACTATATGAGCAGAGACACAACAAAGTGATTTTGCAACATGACAATGCTCGGCCACATGTTGCACAACCGATGAAAATGTACTTGGAAACGCTTAAATGGGAAGTCCTACCCCACCTGCCGTATTCACCAGACATCGCCCCTTCGGATTATCACTTGTTCCGATCGATGGCACATGGCCTGGCTGAGCAGCACTTGCATTCTTATGAAGATGCCAAAAAATGGGTTGATTCTTGGATAGCCTCAAAAGACGTGTCGTTTTTCCGACGTGGAATTCAAATGCTGCCAGAACGATGGGAGAAAGTAGTGGCTAGCGATGGACAATACTTTCAGTGACGTGTTTAATACAACTTTTTTAAAATAAAGTGTTAATTTTCACAAAAAAACAGCCAGAACTTATTCAAGGTCCTTATAATAAAGCTGTTATAGGAGTTGGCTTTGTATTACTTTCATAAATTTGTTCGAAGGTCTTATTGTATTATTTTAATAAAAGGAGGATTGAAAAGATTGGATTGATACATTACCTTATCATAATGTAATGATAATTAAGTTCATAGATTCAATTCATCCTTTTCAGTTTATAATATAATTGACAATAATTTATTATTAATAGTGAATTATCTGTTGGAATTTGGAAAAAGAAAGAAAATATAACTAGTATATTACAAAATACAGTCGACCCCACTGTAACACTGTTGATTATTCCATTTTATATGAATTCCATGTTGTACAAGTCACTTAGATTTTACAAATACGTGAGCCATTCACAGCCCGGCACACACACAGTCGACCCCCTATAACATGGGTTCATATAATGCGGACTCGTATATTGTGGCAAAAAAATTGTGACCGTATTTGTATAAAGACACTAAAAGAGACTTGTAAAATGCGGTAAAATGTCATCGCCAACTCGTGTCGTGACAGGATTGGTCGAATCTGGACCAATAGTGGACGAGCAGCCGAACTACTTACACACTACGGAGAGTTTAGGTGGGTAAGTTGAGTTTACTATCATCTGTACAATATATAAATTAGGTACTGTAAGTCTAATACAGTACTGTAATTTTATACATTTCTTTTGAAAAAAACATTTCTTATTCAACGGTCATAAAAATTATTTCTATTAATGATGTCTCCAAAGTTCAGCAAATTTTTCTGCAAAAAATAACTTATCAGAAAATGCGCTTGCCATTTGGTGCGCTGCTCCGCAATGAAAACAAGCTTAAGCAATGGCGTCGTCGAACAGTGCACACTCAGTAAGTAATCCTACAATTTTTTGTTTATAGCATAGTTTATACGGATTATTCCCAAAAAATTATACGTGTTTTGGAAATGAGTCAAATTAGTCTAGAATCAATTACAGTAGAGTGTCGTTTATCCAAAAGCCAGTTATCCGAAACATCGGTTAACCGAAAGCATTCCAGTCGGCAAATTTAAATTTCCGCTAGTGCTGTAGCACTGCAATCTTTGGCTATATCTTGGCCTACTCCAATATTTTTTTTGTTGGTGTGTGTGTTTTAGCTGGCAGCACTGGCACTTTTGTGTAGTGTTTTTCTGAGGACTGTGTGGTGCTGAATCGAATGTTTTTGATACTAGATAACTTCTAAAGTATAATTTTTTTTGTTTTTATATTTTTATTTTGTTTGTAAAAAATAAAGAGATAATTTTTAACGATACAATAGCCACGATTATTATTTGAAAAAGTATACATTAGGCTTAACATCAACAAAAATTCAACATGAAGCAACACGCAACAGAGAAAAATTTCACCACAGGATAAATTAATATATTTTTTCATACATAATCGGTTATCCGAAAAATAAGTTATCCAAACATCCCCAGTCCCCAACTGATTCAGATAAACGATGCTCTACTATAATTTTATGGAAGAAAACCTTTCAAACAGCTGTAGTCCATAAACTGCACATGTGCCGGGCTGTGATTGGCTCGTGTATTTAAGGACTCCCACATGAAATTCTTATAAACTGGAACGTATCTACCATGTTATAGGGGGGGTCAACTGTATTTGTAAAATCTAAGTGACTCGTACAACATGGAATTCATATAAAACGGAATTATCAATAGTGTTATAGGGGGGGGTCAACTGTACTAAACAGTGCACTGTATATATACAGAAAATGCTTTAGTCTTGGTTTACTACTAATGTTATGATGGTCATGATGGATACTGGTGTTTATACTGTATGTATGTGGGCTGATGAGAGGTCTTTGTACCCGAAATGCATTCCTACTAAATTCTGATTAGATTTTACTAAAAGTGGCCTATAATTAATCTTAGTCTATTTATTCCAGTCAGCCCCTGATGTGATAAATCCTCCAATTTATTACAACCCTATTAGACTAACTAATTCAATATAAATACTGGTAATGATAACAATTGATAAATTAATTATCTACGCGAATGAAATCCAATAAATACAACTAAATAACTTTTATTTTGAGCCAGTCATGCCAGTCATTTTGAGCCATGTATTCACTCTTATATATGAGTAATGTTACAAAGTGTCTTCGTAATGCTACTCATATACAAATTAATTTGTTTAAATTTTGTGTGTACAAAATGTTAAACAAACTTTTTTGATGTCTATTAATAGTCAAAATATAATAAACAATTCAGGCCACCTGGGTAAGGGCACCATTTGCATCCCCTCGCCAGTGACAGCTCTAAGAGTAATGACAGTTGAGTCACACATGTATGCAAAGCTTGTGTATCTCAATTGTATCTATTAAACATTGCTATTGTGCACTTGTGTTTCTTGAGAAACACATAATCCTCATTTTTTCAATTAAGAAACACAATTGGAACAAATTGCTATGGTTACATTATATTGTGACAGCCGGAAATGTAACCCATGTTACATTCCTTACGGCCAGGAAAGCAACAAGAAACTAAAATTTGAGATGATTACAATACTTTCCCATGTTATGACAGCTGGGAAAGTAAAACACATTTTCTACGGATCTAATAGCTTGGACAGATCTTAACAAAAAAAAATGTAATGTTGTGGTCCTCTGAAGACAAGAAAAGCTCCATGAGGGAGAAAGACAATTTGTATGAAATTTTGTTAACATTATTAGGCTAAATAATTTAATTATAATTGATCATAATTATAGGATGACTGTACCACTATAAGGCGTTCTTGCCATATATGGTGTAACAAGTTGTTGTAGCAACATCTTAATTATTTCATATCCCTATGTTTATTTGTTAAATTATATTATAAAACAAATCTGTTTCGATTGTTTATTCATTTCAACGATCTGATTCAAAACAATTTGCCTTATAAAATATCATGATGTCTGATGAAAGATTTTAATGTTTAGTCAAATATATCATTGTCATGTTACTTTGGTCATTCACATTATTTACCATATATATATTATACACAGCAGAACCACGATTATCCAAGGCAAACATGTAAGTGAATAAATAAAATACATTATTTCTGATTTATAAAAGTTTTATCATGAATGTAGTATCATCCAGTGTAAATATAATTTTAACCTCAACTATAATGAATGAGCAACTTCATCTTAGTACCCACAAGTGCAAAGAGTTTTCCTCCCATATTCATTGTATGTCCTAAATACAGTCAACCCCCCTATAACATGCGTTCCTATAATGGAAATTCCTATAACGTAGCGAAAAAATTGTAGCAACATATGTATAAAGGAGCTCCTAAAACGTCGCCGCCGACTCGTTTCGCGACAAGATTGATAGAATCTGGACCAATAGTGGATGAGCAGTTGAACTACTTTCCTCCGCCCTGCGCCATGCTACGGAGCGGCTAAATTGAGTTTGCTATCGTCTGTTCAGTATTATATATAAATTAGGTACTGTACATATAATTATATATTAATTATATATAAATTAGGTACTGTATATATAATTATATATTAACTTAATTTATTGTAACTTTATTATAATTATATATATGCTTTCTGCCGCCTGGCAACACGCTACGGAGATTTTAGGCTAGTAAGTTGAGTTTATTATCGTCTGTACAGTATGTAAATTAGGTACCGTAAGTCTAATACAGCACTAATTTTATACATTTCTTGTGAAAGAAACACTTCTTATTCAACGGCCATAAAAATTATTTATATTAATGATGTCTCCAAAGGTCAAGTTATTTTTCTGCGAAAAATTCGTTATCAGAAATTGCGGCCGCCGTTTCGTGTGCTGTTCCATGACGAAAACAAGCTTTGAGCAACGGCGAACGGTGCACACTCAGTAAGTAATCCTATAATTTTTTGTTTATAGCATAGTTTATACAGATTATTCCCAAAAAATTATACGTGTTTTGGAAATGTTGAGTGGAATTAGTCTAGACTCGGTTAATTTTATAGAAGAAAACCTTTCAAACAGCCTTAGTCCGTAAACTTCACACCTATCGGGCTGCTATTGGCTCATGTATTTAATCATTCATACAACATAAAATTCAATTAACGTGGAACGTATCTAAGCATTATAAGGGTACTGTGGATAGTCTACTGTATCCAGAATAGACTATCCACAAAAAATAGTTAGCAATACAAATATAAAAGACTTATACGGTAATTTTTAATCCGAAATGGCCATCCATTGTTTCATCCAAGTTTTTGATTATTTGAGGTAGCATCAGTTCGTGTTAGCTTGGATAATCAAGGTGTATAGATTTTAATGTATGTATATATTTCTCATAAGGTTAATTATAATACTTATTTAGAAGTATGCAGTCTTAAAATTGAATAATTTGAACAACAGATGATGATTCCCATTCAAATTATCCAAGTTTGTTAGTTGAATATAACAAAAATACCTGAAAATTTGGACCAGATTCAATTTATAATTACCAGCACAGGCAATGGATCCATTATTATACACTCTTGACAACACTGAAAATATGGGAAATTAAATTGATTTTTCTTATTAATGTTAATATTCTTTATTCCATATTTTTTGTAAATCATACTTTTGATGATACAAAGTCAAAACAAAATCAAAAAATGAAGGCAGTCTGTTGAAATAGTCACCCTTTTGTTTATTTCCACATTCCAGAATGCATTTGATGACAATGACTCGACCTCCTTTAAGCTGCTTGGTTATGAAATAAATTTAAAATTTCTTTTAAAATACGATAAAAATATATCAAATGTCATCTTCCATTCTTCCATCCGTGTGGCACTGAAACTATTGCTTGATCTTTTATCTAATGGGAGAAGTGCTGTTAATATATAGATTTCTAGCTGCCCCTTGCAGTGAATTCTTGCAAAAAATATTTTCAAAAATTTATGAAATTTACCAAATGACAGTTTTAATATTAAAATAAAAAAAAATGAAGGCAGAAGTCTGTTGAAATAGTTATGCCAAATGTATTCCAAAACAAGCTAATAAAAGGTGACTATTTCAAATGACTCTACCTTCATTTTTTGACTTTAATATTAAAACTGCCATTTGGTGAATTTCATAAATTTTTGAAAGTAACAGTTGTTGTTACTGATGTTTAAAGATGAATTCCACTACTGCTTTAATAAATACATATGATTTTAAATGTTTGATATAAAACTATTATATTAATTTATGAGTGAGTATCCTTGAATTTTAATACAAATGTTGAATATTCCTGATTTTTTTTAATCAAATATAAATATTCTTTAAAAAATGCCTGTTGTTATTTGACTTAAATTTCCAAAACACTTTGCTCAAATATAACTTTATATTCAGTTAAAAACAAAAACATTCCTCCATTTCTAGTCTTATTTATAAATCATTCATGTTATTAAATAATATTAAAAATTACAAAAGTTCTTTAAGATGAACGAAATATTATTATTTTAATATGCAAAACTATTTTACACATAAGATGAATGAACAACCATCTACTTCAATGCCAAACATACATTGAATACTTACACAATTACATCTCTATATTTTGTGACTCAAGAATTATAACCTTGTCATACAATATTACAATTGTAACCACAAACGTAAACTTAATTTGGTCATTCGTACAATTAAGGAATATGGTAATGTTAATATTTCAGTACCTCGATTCTTTAAATAAAATTTTATTTAATTAAAACATTTGGGAAAGAATATTAATATAAAATTAAAATTTGAATTCTTTGTATTTCTTGGGAGCTTTCCCACTGTCTTGTTGCTGTTTCTTTCTTTTGTTCTGTAAAAAATTTTAAATGATGATAATTAACTTGAATAGATTAAAAAGAAAATAATAATTGTACTGTATTTACCCTCTGCCTTGCAGCATGTTCTGCAACCATATCACTCAGATCTTCTTTTTGAAGATGAGACTGTTGTTCCCTGACAGTCTGCTCGTATCTGGCGGCCATTGCTGCGGTATCCATTTCTAATTCGCTTGGATCTAGAGCAACTTCAATACCATGAGGAGGAACGGAGGTGGTACCTGAAATAACCATGCCCGGTGTTTTCGGTTTTCCACCAGGAATAGCCTAAAAGATATGAAAATATTGACATGTAACAGATAAAAATTGCTTGGTAATTAGGGGGCATGTTTCCTAGTAAAGCTGCTTTACTTAAGCTGCTGGAGGGTGCTTTAAGCAATTTCCATTTTCGTAGGAAACACTTCTAAACATCAGCTACTTGGCATTGTTGTTTGGCTTTCTGTATAAGTTGTTTTGTATGAATAAAAATGTTTAGTTAGAAATGATGCAGAATTGTCCCTGAGACTATAAAATATTGGAAGCAGCTGATCAAGAGACTGCAATATTGTGTAACAATGCAATTACCTATATGGTAAACAACAATAACAGAACATATGCATTCACCATCACTAATAAATCTGAAGATCAGCCATCTTAACTTCTGCCTTCAGCAGTTGTGAACCTCGGTGCACTAGTGCTATACAGCTAACATAAAGCAGGAATAGTTTAACTGTCTTAACAAAGCAACTTTTCTAGGAAATGTGCTCAATTTATATAATACAATAATGTATTGATTAAATATTATTAAAAATCTTCATAATAAATATTAAAATAACTTACTGCAGATAAATCATATATGTGAGTTGAACCCATCATGGCACTACCAATTTTTTCAGATTTCTTTTCAGGTAATATTGTGTACAGAGCTGGTGTTTCTCCACTGAAATGATTACAAATAATAAGATACTCTTTTTTTATGATGTTGACTACTTTTCTCTAACATTATTAAAATATACAAACCCTTCCATTTCGGCTTCTATTTTACGTTTTCTCAGTTCTATCATATCGGGTGTTTCCATTCCAGCAGGTATAGAACTAAATCCGCTTGGAGTAACCAGTCCTTCAGCCGGAGTTACCAGACCTGTTTCATCTTCTGTTTTTTCTTCCTCCTCTTCATCTTCTTCTTCTTCATCCTCTTCCTCTTCAGATGACTCAGATTCTAATTCACCCCACAGAGTTCGGTCAATATCTTCATCATTTAACTGGGGCTGTATAATTAAATTCCGAAATTATATCAAAATGCCTTATTCTCAACGTAATCCAACATTCAACTTAACTACAGGTGAAATACAGTTAACTATAATTTAAATTTGAAATACAGAAGAACCCACCATATGTGGACTCACCACATGCTTTTTCAGGTTTACACTATTGATGATTAAAAAAGAAGGAAACTACACAAAATACTCTTCATTTTGCACTAAGTCTGTCCCATTTTTTTAGGTGCACAAAGTCTCAGTTTCTTGTTCTGAGAAACAAAGAAATGTGACTCATTTCTTTGTTTTGTACTAAACACTGGGGAATGTGTCAGTCTTTATCTAGAATACTTGTTTTTAACAAGTCTGCATGATATCAGTGCTTCTCTTTGATTTCATTTATGCTAATTACTTTGCAAACATGACTCCAAAATGCAGTAGTGTTGCTGGTAGTTCTGATAATCCAAAGAAAAGCTACAAGGTTCATACTTTAGAGAAAAAAATTAAAATTTTAGGTTCAGTGAGAAAAAGTCTGCTTCACAAAAACAGTTTTAAAAAGTTTTCATATTTACATTATCATAATAGTTATATTTTTTTTATATAAATACATTTACAATATGATAGTTATATTAGTAGGTATTTAATAATTAATTCAGGTGCTATTTTACACACATTTCTGCTTACATGAGTGTCATGAAATGTACTGGTTGCATATGGCAGGGCCCTATCATATTTATCATTAAACTTTTATTACCTTAATTATTATTATTTCAAAATGGTATACACAAAAAAATAAAATATATACCTGATTATCAGAAAGCTGCGTTCCAAATACGTCACCATAAAGAGGACGTCCAAACTCGTCAACAGGAGGCTTACCCCATCCACCGGCATGATATCCAAAAGAACAGCTCTATAATTTATTAAAAACTTGGTCAAACTAAACATAAAGATAATAAATAAATATTAAGACATACCAGAAACTTACATCAGGAATTGGAGCATTTAAACCTGGAATTTTTAAATTTGGATAAGAAGGTGGAGGCCCGTATCTCTGCATAGCAATTAGCCAGGGTGGAGGACATTTATTGGCATTCTAAAAATATATAAAAGATAAAATTTACTTATCCTTAACAAGAGAAATATAATTTTTGCATATAAAATTTTACAATTCAATCTGTTTTTACTTCTGAAATAATTATGGTTTAATTATAAATGATGATATTTCCAAGATAACAGTGTGTAGAAGCTAGATTTAACTGTATTTGCTTGATTTAGTAAAATAAGGGAGTAGTCTAATATTTGAAATGAAATTCTTTCCTAAAATATAATTTCATGGATCAAATAGTCATAAAATATGAATATTTGGTCCATGAAACTATACTTTGAATCATACAAAGTTTTAAATAATTCTATTATTTAGTAATAAAATTTGTTTTAATGAAAGTCAAACTAATTAAAAATATGCATTATCCAGGTAAAATAGGTTTAACACAGTAAAATCTCAATTTAATGGACTATGGATTTAATGGACAAAATTTCTGGTCCGTATTATATGCCATATGTGAAAATTAACATCCTGTTAATTTAATTACATATAAAAAGTAATTTAAAATTAGCAGGTTTATTTTTTCAATTCAAGAGTCACTCCTCACAGTGTCTTTTCCAAAAAAAAAAAACGTTGTTTTTATTCATACTCATTTATTACAACCTCAGAATTATGGTGTGTAAATAAGCAATAACACACAGAAAACTTTCCTGTGAAATTAAACTCCTCATACATACTTAATTTTAATTATACAATTTTTTTTAAACTAATTCATTTGTCAATTTTCAAACACATACATTGGGAAAACCTACTTTATTATATAATGGACTTTCAGCTTTAACAAACACCCCTTGCCCAAATTAGTCTGTTAAGTTGAGGTTTTACTGTAATATGTAAATATCACTATGATTTTAATTCTCTCTAATTTTGTGAGTTAATGATCAAATTAAGAGAAAACAAATTTATAAAATCTTTATAATAATAATACAGATGTAGTTAATTCAAATTTTGAATTTGCACTATTAAAAATTAAACACTGAATTTTTAATTTAAAAATAAAATCTAATAATAATCAAGTTATAATAATAAAATGCTTAACGATTACCAGTATATTATATAATATTTTTACTTTAGAATTTTGTTATTCATCTTAAAAGTTTATTGATAACATAATCAATAACAATGTTTTAAGAATGACATTATTATTATTGCGAGAATGTGATAACAGTAGCATAGCATAATGCCATTGTTTTGTGATCTCGCAAAATACTTTAAATTACAACATCATTTTCAAAAGAATATTTGATTAAGAAGTATATTTTATTGATATAGTAATTACAAGAATTATTTGAAGAAACTAAAATAAACACATACAGGTTTATCCAGTATTAAAGACGGAATGTGTATGTGTATATATATTCCATCTTTAATATTGACATCTTTTATTATGAAAGAAAATAAAAGTAAATCATGACAATAAAACTATGTAAAATAAATTATTAGCCATTAAATTTTAAACTTACAGGTCCAGTGGGCATTCCTAATGCTACTCGTAATTCGTCACTGAGTTCACCAGGTTTTTTATCTTTTAGACGTGTTTCTAATTCTTTCCCCTGAAAATATTAAAATATTCTAAACAATTAAAAAAATCCATAAATAGTCTCTATTATAAATAAATTAACCATACTATAAATATACAGTAAAACCTCTGTAAATTGGAATTGCAAGGCACCAAACTATTTTTCAGTTCAGCAGGTTTTTTTAACATAGGAAATTGCTCTGTTCTGAAGAATTTTTCCCATTTAGGTAAGTTTCTGTTTTATTCAAGTTCCATTTTGAGCAGTTTTTACCATATATAATCTTTTATTACTTTCTCAGCTCTGTTATACATTACAGAGGAAAAATATGGTGATTGGACAAAAAAATGACCCTCTCCAAGATTTTTAATTTTTGGACTCAAGGGAGCTTGAAAAGTTGAAATGCAAAAAAATTGGGGGTTTTATCTGTATGTATGGATGTTTGTGTTTGTTTGTTTGTTTGGAGCATGATTTTCTTCACCCTCTTTGAAGCTTAATAACTCCTGTGCTTTTTGTTGAAAATTTCTGAAATTTTGTAGAGAGGATTATGTATTAGGGGGATTAATGTAAATTAAAGTGATTTTGTTAAAGTTCAATGGGATGGAAAAATAAAGGGGATCATGTGTTGTTTCTTGAGTAGGGTCAGACTTAAATGATGATTTTATTCATTGTTAGCATTTACAATTTTTTATAAAACCCATGCTTACCCTCAAAATTAAGCTTTTTGCCATTTTATAATAGTTAAAAGTATAAAAATTTTTTTACTAATACAGTAGAGCGTCGTTTATCCGAATAAATTGGGGACTGGGGTGGTTTGGATAACTTATTTTTTGGATAACGAATCATGTACGAAAAAATATATTAATTTATCCCATGTTGAAATTTCTCTCCGTTGCGTGTCGCTTTGCGTTGAATTTTCGTCGATGTTAAGCCTAACGAAGACTATTGTATCGTTAAAAATTATTTTTTTATTTTGTACAAACAAAATAAATTTATTGAAAAATATAAAAACAATAAAAAATTATACTTCAGATGTTAATTTAGTATCAAAAACGTAAAATATTTGAGTAGCCCGAGAAATAGCCGAAAATTGCAGCGCCAAAGCACTACCGAAAATTTAAATCTGCTGACTGGAATGCTTTCGGATAACGGACGTTTCGGATAACCAGCTTTCGGATAAACGACGCTCTACTGTATATCATAACAGATGGCACCACAAGCAGTTTTAAATATTGCCAGGAAAGTTAAGCAACTCATTGCTGATTTTTTTTTAATCATTTTAAAGTTTGAAATCATCATGTTTTCAAATTTCAAAAGTCTAGCTATGTTTGTGATTGAAATGAACTTTAGAGGGCAAGTCAATCTTATACTGTTTTTATCCACCACACTGTAAGCTTGCATTTAATATCTTACGTATATATGGAAACAGCTATTGAAAAAGTTATTTTGAATAAAATGGTGATTAAGTGAAGAATCCTTACAGATAGACAAGAAAAAAATGAGAAATTATGTTTGATTAAATATTGTTAACTTAATTTGCATGCAGATATGTTAAGTGACTTAATTTGTATGCTGAGAGTAAATAAGTTATTTTCATCTAACTGTGAAAGCAACTTAAAAAATGTATACTGAGAAATTTTGTGTCTAAGTCTTATTTGCTTCTTTATTCCCCCTATTTATTTGTAATTTAAGAACAGTTTTTTATAGCACACATTTTGCTGGCTACAACTATTTTATTATGTAATAGTGTAAGTTTTCAACATGAAATGTAATGAAAATTACCTTTTATATATAACATAATTATTTCTGAAATATTATTACCTCATAATATAAATCTCCATGAATTGTCATCCTTGGTTTGGTTTGCCATTTAAAGAAAGCATCATGCAGTTTTTGATAATCGATATCAATTTTTCCTAATTTTGGTCTCACTCTTTCTCTCATTTTTGCTTTCAGTGTTTTTTCATCTTCCTAAAAATAAAATACATTTTATAAAATATTTTTAAAAACAAACAAACAATAAATTATTATTTCTGTTTTCATTACAAAGATTACAAACTTTAAATATTTAGTCTTATTCTAAAAAGTATCTACTTTCTACCACTTTAAAATTTACTTTAACTGGTTTACCAAAATATTGTTAAATAGATAAAACCTAAGCTTGTTTTTTATTTTTGAGTTTTAATTCAATATTTTTGTACATTTTATATTTAAAGAACGTTACTAATAATACAGTTAAAATATAATTACATTTGTTTCTTAAACCAGGAAACATACTTTTCAAATATTAATTATTTTATTTCAAATTTTAATAATGCCAATAAGTTTTATCATCAATACCAAAGTTCTGCCAATTAAAAATTAGTCAACAGATTTTGAAAATAAAAACTAAATAAACCTTTAAAGTCCTTTTAAAGAGTTTATTTAATTCTGTCAATGCATTTTTCAACAGATTTTGCAGCCCCATGTGTTAAATGGCAGTTGCCCAGGCCCTTGCCACAACACTGTTGTGCAGAATACACATTAATAATGGTATATAAATGTAATGAATAATTATACAAAATTTATATAAAGAAAAATGGATAGATACAAAAGAAAAACAATTTATATTGGATCCATCAAACAGCAGAATGCCTATTTTAAAAATTTGATTCAAAACTCATAAACCCAGAGAAAAATGTAGACCTTTCGTTGATTTCCAGAATTCTATTTTGTATAACTTAGAGCATTATCTTAAAAAGAAACTAAATGATAACCTACACTCTGATTACAGAATAACATCGGCAGATAAATTAATTAACAGAATATTAAAAATAAAATTTGAACCTGCATACAAGCTATTATGTCTAAATGTAATTTTGATGTATCCAAATATAAAATGGAAAATGATAGAAGCAAGCTTACAATCACTGGATGTACAAAGTTGGATCCAAAAACTAATTCAGTTAATGTATTTTGGTAATTATTTTAAAACTGATAAAAGGTATTTCTGTCAAAAAGAAGGCATTAGCATGAGTTCTGTGATAGGACCCAAATGTGCAGAAATCTGTGTGAATACAACAGATAATAAATTAGCTAATTTACCAGGTGTAATCCTTACAGTAAGATATGTAGATAATGTTTTAATAGTATTCAATTCAGAAAAAATAAATGAACTAAAAACAAAACTTTTCAAATAACCTAAATAAGCATATCCAATTTGAAATAAAACATGAAATTAGAGGTTGTATAAATTACTTAGACATAACAATAAATAGAAGTAATACAGGAGTTACTTTTAAAAATTTAAAGAATATATACATTTACTAAACAAAGTAAATTAGAAAAATCTGGTGTTGTATACAAAATGTTGTGTACATGTGCAGATAAAGTCCATTATATTGGAGAAACTGGAAGAATATTGGAAAAAAAGGATAAAACAAGAGGCATCAATCAAATTAAAAAATACTCAATCACTTTGGTTTATACATTGCAGTGAAAATAATTATACAATTAATAAAGATAATATTAAAATTTTGTTTCTAGAAAATGATGTATATCTATGAAAATTTAAAAAACATATAATGATTAAAAATAATGATAACATAATTAATTTGAATAGCAGGATGTTAATAGACAACGTGTGGAATGATGTCATATATGCTATGCAGATTGATTGTTCCTGTAATTGATTTTGAAAAGTCTGAGATATTGATGTAGGTTCTGTTGCAGATTGTAGCATTTGTGAGTGATATATTTTAATAGTTTATATCTTTATAAAAAATTTTAACTGTAAATTACAAAACAATTTTATTGTTTATGAACTGAAGTGGGATCAGAGAGAATTCTGATCTGAAATGCATTTAAATAAAATTTCCATGAATTAAATTGTCTTCTGAGTAATTCTTAAACTTGAGTGAACGTTGAATTCAAAGGATATAACATTTCAGTTTATTTGTCCAAAAAACCCCTTTTAAGTGGTTACAAAAGTGAATAATCAGGGGTCGCACTGCACAGTGCAAAATTGCCACTTGGCAATATTTTTATTAACCTATTCGATGTTGAAATTTTTATTTGTTGATGATGACACCCTGTCGAATTTTTGTCGATGTTAAGCCTAATTTTTTTTTAAAATAAAAATTGTGTTTACTGTATCATAAAAATATTATTTTTTTTATGTTTCAAAAACAAAATAAATATAATGAATAATATAGAAACAAAAAAAATTATATTTTAAAAGTTCGTTTTAATATAAAAATTGTGACACATAGCGACATCTAGTATCAAAAATGTTCCGATGTAAACACGAAAATATTTGGGATCGCCCATGCAGGTCAATGAGGTCAACACAAATATTTTTGGGAACAACACAGCACAGGTTAAAGTGGAAAAAAAAAAAAAAAGTATAATACTGGCAATAAAATCCTAGTCCACTTGTTTCAATTCCCCAGATAGATCTTTAATAAATAAGTTCAATGATCATTTCATGATTTATTACATATTAAATCATTAAAAAAAAATTATTGTTTAAATAAATGTAGAACATATCTAGAATATAATTAGTACACTTTCAAACAATAATGTTTTGATACCTTTTCTTGAAGAGCTTGTCTCATTTCCATTATTCCTGTTCGTTTAATGAAATCAGGTAATTCAAAAGGAGGTTTCTCAATACCACGTTTACCTTGAAGATATTTTCTTTTAAAACACCAATGTCTTGGCACAGGAACAGTATTTCTTGTAGCCTTATTACATAATAAAAAAAGATAAAAAATGACTAAGTTACATTAATTGTAAATCAAATATTTAAAAGGTTTTGTAAATGGATTATAATAGATTTTTAATAAGTTAAAATTGAAAGTGTTGTTACATGTAAATCACTGTAATGTAAATTTAGTATGTACTATCTTTTAATCTCAATTCACAATAGCAAGTGATTAATCAAGAGTATTTCTCAAAAGTTTTGTTCTTTTCTTTCTTATAATAATTGTATTTATTGTTTATTATATTTGAGCTGAAACTTTAATCGCAAGCAATCCACCATTAAAATGTTGAAGTTTATTTAATTTCTCATGTTGTTTTGATTCCAAGAAGTTTGTTTTTTATTACAGAAATAGCTTAGAAATATGATTAGTTGAATCTATATATTTAACAGAAACAATTTTTCTTCAAAATAAAATTACCTATCTACATGATGTTGATTTTGCTGTCAAATATTGAATGTCTTAACAAGAAACAATATGAAACTTAAATTTATAGTTCTTTCCAGTATATTCTAAATTTATTTCTAATTATTAAATTTATCTTTAGATGGCAGCCTAACCACTTCCCTAAAGCCAAACAGCTTTATATCTAATCATTATCTTAGCCTTGTATGGCCCAGTTAATAATCCAACAGTTTGTCTTGCATTAATAATTGAATTAGGTTGATATATATGTTACTATATACTATACATACTTATGTTACTACACATACACAATGCTAGGGAAAAGCATAAGTTGGCTGAAAGAACAATAGAGGACAATAGGTACAAGTTGCCCCAGCTGGTGTTTTGATTGACCAGTATGGTTATGTATAAATTAGTTAAATAATTAATTTCTTCTTCTTCTTCTTCATAGTATTGTCCCACAGATGTAGGGTCTGCTATTCAGATCTTCAAGTGCCACTTTGTTCAATCGAGTGCATCGTCTGGGTTCAGGTGCAGAGCCCTTAAGGTCTGCACTGATAGCATCTTGCCATCGTTGCTTCAGTCTTCTGTGTGGCCAGCAGCCGTTCACCTCTAGATGGTAGGCAATGTTGGCAACTGTATCTGGGGCTGATCGTTGGACATGATTCTTAATCTTTTAAAAAAATAATTTAATAAAAGTTAAATAACTAATTGTTCTGAAAGAAAATATCAGATGGGCATCCAGGTAGCATAACTGGCAACACATCAGCATAGTAAGCAGGAGTTACAAGTTTGAGACCTGCTCTGGACTGATCTTTTTTTCTAAATATTCTAAATTAAATTTAATAATTAGAAATAATTTTTTATTCACTCTTTAGATGGCAACCTAACCCACTACCTGTAGCAAAATTGTTTTATATCTAATCATCAAATTAACTTTGTTATAGCCCAATTAATAATTTGGCATTAAAATTTAATGTAAATGTTTTCTCCTAAAAAATTATAATAAACCAATAAAATATAAATTTTATTACCTTTAACTGTAGTAACAAAACAGGATCTTTTGCAGTAACATCATGCATTTCAACCAATTCTGGCCTACTGACTTTCTATAAAATAATTAGAATTATTAATACCTAATGTCAAAATATAAAACCAAAATTTACGATAAAATTTTTTCTTACTTGTTTCAGTTCGGCAATACTCATTCTATTTAACTTTTTCAACTTCCTCTTTGATAACTTTGGTTTATTTTCTTCTTCTTTTCTCTATCAAATAAGATAAAGTTAATTAAATTAGAAATTTAGAAATTATCATTATCAATTATAATAATACTTTCTAAAATTCTTCAGAAAACAAAACAAAAAATTTATTAAAAAATTTGATTATACAGTAATACCCCGAACTTACGCGATAGGTGGGACTGAGTGGTAACCACGTAAGTCGAATTCGCGTAAGTCAGGGTATAATTTCCCATATAAATACATACAAATAATTTTTAATTGGGGCCAGAGACTAAAGAAAACAATAATTTAGAAAAAAATGTTTAATAAAATCTTGGATAATACATATGTATAACAAATTAAGCCTATATTATTTTACAATTTTTCACATTTACTTGATTATTACGCCATAATTTTAACATTGTTTCCATCTCAGTGATAATACTGTGACATTTACGAATGATGCTTGAATTTAAAGATTGAGCATTTTTCACAGCTTCGAGAATTTTTTCTTTGCCTTTTATAATTGTTCTGACCGACAATTCCGGTAGATCAAACTTCTTTGCCAATTCACAAATTTTNTTAATTTACTGAGGGATGACAACATTCCTGGTGGTTCCCAATTCTAATTATGTTAGTTAGAAATTATTTGTAGTTTTTTTTAAATATGTTAAAAAGAACTGTGCTTGTTTGGAAGTCTGCAAAGAAGACATTGGGTCTTTTACCTCAAATACAGTATAGATTATTACTTTGTTGCAGTCAGATTTACTCAAAGAAAAAGACAACTAGCTTGAAGTCAAAGGACACATGTCTATCCATTTAATCTTTTAAAGATTGCATGATGGATCTGAGTCATGCAATCCTATGTCACAGAGGACATTGCTGGATTAGACTATATAGAGAAAGCAACAGCAAACAGTTTGTATTTTCTGAATTAGAAGTGTACAGAAAAATTAAAATAATTTTTTGTTTCTTTTGAAAAATTTCATTTTTATGACATATTCTTTGGCTTTTGAGGTATTGATATAATAATACTTTTGAAGTTCTTTTACAGCATATTTAGATATATATATATATATACTATATATACTCTACTGTATATATATATATATATACAGTAGAGTATATATAGTATATATATATATATATCTAAATATGCTGTAAAAGAACTTCAAAAGTATTATTATATCAATACCTCAAAAGCCAAAGAATATGTCATAAAAATGAAATTTTTCAAAAGAAACAAAAAATTATTTTAATTTTTCTGTACACTTCTAATTCAGAAAATACAAACTGTTTGCTGTTGCTTTCTCTATATAGTCTAATCCAGCAATGTCCTCTGTGACATAGGATTGCATGACTCAGATCCATCATGCAATCTTTAAAAGATTAAATGGATAGACATGTGTCCTTTGACTTCAAGCTAGTTGTCTTTTTCTTTGAGTAAATCTGACTGCAACAAAGTAATAATCTATACTGTATTTGAGGTAAAAGACCCAATGTCTTCTTTGCAGACTTCCAAGCAAGCACAGTTCTTTTTAACATATTTAAAAAAAACTACAAATAATTTCTAACTAACATAATTAGAATTGGGAACCACCAGGAATGTTGTCATCCCTCAGTAAATTAATTTGCACAGTCTTCTTATGTATGACATTTCACCACTTGTGTCAGAGGTGAAAGGGTTCATGTCCTCATGTATCTGTGTAACCCAAACTGTGACATACTGCCCTTATCTCTGCCACTATTGGAAATAAGACAACAGTCTTTTGACACTGATGCAAGTATTGTCAGAAAAATGTCAAGGTACATTATCTCATTTTGATTTTGGAACAGATAGGTGCTCTTTGGCTTTATATATATATATATCAGAGGCCAAAGAACACTTGTCCATTTTGTATTTTATTTATTTGATAAGGTTTTGTTTACTATTTCATTGTAAACTATCAGTTGTTTTAGTTTTATCTCTATAACTAATCATGAATTACTGACTGACAATCTTGATATCTTGATAGACACATAATAGACTTTAGGGGAATGATGAAATTGTGATTCTAGTGACATTAATGCTAGAATTGTTTCTGAAATAGATATGTTATATACTGGATCTAAATTGAATTTTTACAACATTATTGTCTGCTAAACTTTGCATATATACACAATATATAACTGTCTAAGCCCAGTTGCACAAAATGGGCAAATTTTCATTAATGATATTAAGGAGAACAAGATTAAATCTTCTAATTTTTGTTTTAATTTTTAGACAACATAGCAATTTAATATTGACTTATATGTGATATAACAAAATAAAGCTGTTTAATAATAAACAAAACAATCATTATATTAATAAATTATAATTATAATAATTATAATTACCATCATATATTCATAGTCTGAATCAGAATCTGATTCATCCAAATCAGCAGGTTTTTTTATTAAACGAACTGGTTCACGTGAAGCTTCTTTTTGTGCGTCATCGGATTTTTCATCGCCTTTATCTGATTCTGTTAATTTAAATTTTTCAAATATTTTTACAAACTGAGCATAAAGAGGATCAGTCGGTTCAAGATTTTCCATCACATATCTGTTTAAAAATATTTATATATTTAAATTTAATTTTTAACTACTAATAATAACAATAATGAATTTATCATTTGAAACTTACTCTACATCAACATCAACAGTATTTTCTTTATTTTCTTCTTGTGGAACTTTTGGTTTATCTTTTTGTTGTTCCAATTTTTTCTGTCGTGCCCTACGCTTTTTCTTCTTTTTGCGTCTCTTATTTTTTGACTGTAATAAGATATTTATATACATTTAAAATTTGAAAAGAAAAATGAGATCTTTTCAATATATATAATAACTATAATTTATATAATTCTGTAATAAACTATAATTATAATTGTAAATTTTTAAATACAAAATCTGTTTCAAATATTCTGAAATAAAGAAATTTTTTAAAGTATGTTTTAAAATAATTTGCTAAAAAGCAATAAATTTCAATGTATGAATAATTTAATCATAAATCTCATTTACACAAAATTAATAAATGTACTAAATAATTCATACTAAATTTTGATGAAAATTTTATAGGCTTTTCATTTATTAATTTATCATCATTTTATATAACTGAGTATCTCAAAAAGGTTCAAATAATATGGGACAAGTCAAAGCTTGTGATGGATAATACAAAAAACCCTTTCCATAAGGATTACAGAAAACTGACCATTTTCATGAATACCAAATCTATCAGAAACAAGAAAAAACAAATTAAAGTTAGTACCTTGGATCTGGTAAGTAACATGAGATGAAGATAATCTTAAAATATTTATTAATTGGTTTTTAAGTCACCTTTTTATTTGCTTTTAATTATTATTTTTATAATTTATATACATCAATAGAATGCTTTATTTAAAAGTTTGAATTTGTTTTTTCATTCTAACTTTATATTCTACTTATATTCTGTTTAATTCAAATCCAAAAATGGGGCATTAAAATCCCAAAATATGTTATAATAATTGAAGACAAGTTTGCCCAAATAGGGATCACCATTTTTTATTTTTGCAATCAAGACGATACATTTCTGGCGACTGACCTTCCTTTCTAGCCTACTAGCCGTCAAAAAGTTTAAAAAAGTCCTTTTAAAAACACACAAAATTTCTAATTAAAAACACAAAGATTTTCTAAAATCAGAACTGATGTTATACGAACATCTTTCTTGTTACCATCTGTACTTTCTCAGGGGTGTTTCGTCCTTTTATCCACAGAATGCAAAAATAAAAAATGGTGATCCGTATTTGAGCGAACTTGTCTTCAATTATTAAAAAATAAAAACAACCATCAGACAAAAAATTACGAATTACGACTGTAAAATATTCTCACCAGGGGGAACCTGTTTAATCTACATTTTCCAGCACTCTCTTCTCTGTGGATAAAAGGCCGAAACACTCCCGAGAAAGTACAGATGGTAACAAGAAAGACGTTCGTATAACACCAGTTCTGATTTTAGAAAATCTGTGTTTTTAATTGGAAATTTTTTGTGTTTTTAAAAGGACATTTTTAAACTTTTTGGTGGTTAGTAGCCTAGAAAGGAAGGTCGGTCGCCGGAAATGTATCGTCATGAACGCAAAAATAAAAAATGGTGATCCCTATTTGCGCGAACTTGTCTTCAATTATTAAAAAATGAAGACAACCATCAGACGAAAAAATTATGGATCCCAAAATATGCTTAATCTCAATATAAATAATCAGACAATTAAAGAATTTTAAAGTGTTTTTCTTCTTTTTCATTTCATATGAATTTTATTAACTATTTTTATAAATCATAAATAATTTTATATAGACACATATATATTAATTACCTCTTTTGGATGAGAAGTAACTTCCTCATCGCCTTCATCATCTTCAATTTCATCTACTGCGACTAAAGATTTAGGCTTTCCTTTTGCTTGAGAAGTTTGAGAAACTACAAAAACATTCAAAAATGTATCATTATTATATTTTTGTAAGTACTGTAAAATATAATCATAATTAAACATATTTTCTATAATTAAAATTGATACATACACGGTGTGATTTCAGAATCTGGATCAACACCTAATTGTTGTGCTCTTACAGTCTTAAGAGCAAGTACTTTTTCTAATGCTTGAGGAAGTTTTATATTTTTTTCTTCATCATCATCATCATTAGATAATTTCTAAAAGTTAAAAATAAAAAATATATTTAATTTGTTAACATAATTTATATGATTTTAATTAACTTGTATCTCATATATTTTATTATATAACAATTTCAATTTTGAAATAACTGCTCTATACATATGAAAGCTATGAGCTATAATAGTTACTCATCTAATTGCAATAAATGAGCAATTATTTATTGTGACATTGTCACATGCCTAAATGCAANTCAAAGAATGTAGTCATATTTTTATTTATTTTATTTAAAATATATGCCCTCCACCTCAAATTAGTAGCATCTTGCCCTTGTACATAATACTTTTCCTGATAACAACAGAGTCATGCCATAATCTATCTAACTCCTTACAATGGAAAATTTTTGAATTGAAGATGTACATAACATGATCTCTGGTTTGCATCAGAAGTTTGTATATAGTTAATCGAGACCTCCTGTCCCTAAGGTTTGCATTTCTCATCTTGAATTTCATCTATCTAACTCCGTTCTCAAGACTAAGGAAAGATAGATGAAGGATAGTGGGAAATTATGGGTATACAATTTTTTCAAATTTCATTCCAACAAGCGGAGGAAAAGCCCATGGCACAAGCAATTAAAGCCAAGCAGGGGATTGGGCCACCTACAGTGGCCCAGAGGAAAAAAGTAGAAACAGTGGCACCAAGAATTGCTAAATTGTCAAAATTTTTTGAAGAAGTGGACAACGTCCATGGGGCAAGTGAGTGAAGCAAACCATGTAACTATTTTTTGAACACTCCATGAAATCATTTCCTGTGAAATGTTCAAAAAATTGTGATGTTCAGCCAATTCAAAAGAAAATAGCTTTTTTTTTGTACTCTGAAGATTGTTCCTGTTTTGATTTTGATGGTGAAAATCAGAAAGGAAAGTTTGTTTTTATGTGATTTGAATAAAAACTGTAATGTTTGCAATTAGTGTGTGGAGATGCATTTCATAATGATGTGAACTTAGTTTGCATTAATTAAGGAAGCCTCACTTGGAATAGTCATCAGTAATAGTGAGAAAGAGTGGCATGTGGATAAAATTTTACTAATGCCTTCACATAAAAATAAAGGAAAGAAATGAAATCACAGTTTGGATGACAACAAAAGTCCTTTGGCATCAAAGCTATCAGCAAAAACATCTGCAGAATGTTCAAAGAATATAATGAAAGAAAATGGCAAATATTACAATGGACATGGAATACATATCATGCTTCTCATGCATTTATAATTTTCTTTAACCATATTGCTCTGTCTCATTGAATATTTCAATTATAATACATTTGGTAAGATTATGAAATTAAGCTCAATCTGACATACCAAATTTAAAATATCCTAATATAATTTAAAGTATAATAAATGAATATATTTTGTGTAAGTTATGTCATCTCAAAACAACACTATAAGTAATACAGGTTACCCCCGTATAACATAAGAGTTACGTTCCAAAAAATTGCTGTGTTATGCAAATTCATATTATATGAAACAAAGAACTAGTGAGAAAAGGGGGGTTAGGTTCCAAAAATTAAAAAACATCTGTTAAATCCTTATTTAAATCGGATTTATTATTCATTTTTTTCATAGGTAAAATACTTATTTATTATTTAAGTAAATATTTTACCAGAGGATTATTCATCCTATATGATGATCTCAGCATGAGCATCATCAATTGGTAACAGTTTTTGGGTGCATTCATTAATAGCAGTCGCTCTGCAACGGACGCGCACTGCTGTTTGTAGGCATTTAGGATCAATGGTGAAAGAAATATGGTGGTATCCGCACTATCGATGGTAGGATGGATGGATGGAGGAATCTATAATTCTAAAATGAGCTTTTAGAGGCAAAAGAAGGGTCCCAATTGTAAAATTTAACCATTAAATGGATTATTGTTGAAGGAGCATTCAAAGTAGCCACAAAAACAATTAGAATGCTCATGCAGAGTTACATGCAGTGGTGATATTCAGCGGGTTCGCACAGGTTCGGCCGAACCCGTTGTTAACATTTTCGAAGTTTTCCGAACCCGTTGTTAAATACACGTAACGTTTCTCAGTGGTTTTGTTTCTTTTAAAAAATATATTAAAATATACGTATTATACTCTGTAACACTAGAGCCTTATACTATGTTCGCCTGGTGCAATCTCCATCGACCATGCGATTGAACCTAGTTTCAGTCGAGATTGAAACGAGGTTCAATCGCAATCGACTCGAGAGAGTTCTCGAAACTAGATCCAGTCATAAGAGAGATCCCACAATCCCACGCGCACGAGAAAATGCAAGATGGCTGCGGAACACGTGTCGAGCTATCGACAGCGAAATAAGAAAGATATTGTATTTCGAGAGACGATGACATCTGTCTATTATTATAATAATACCTAACGATAAAATAAATGATTTAGAAAAAGTTTTTCTTGTGTAACTGCTTTCCCTATGACTTTTTCTGATTTAAAAAAAAGCCAATTTTTATGTTTATAAAATATTTTGAATGAAAAATATTAAAATATGTACAAAATAAACCATTTTGAACACTCTTTTTTATTATTTATAAAAAAAATATAGTTTGGGCATAAACAATGTTAAATTTTAACTGACTTAATTTTGCGAACGCAATTTTTTTATTTATATAGTATCTTAAGGTCAGTTTTTTTGCGCTAATGTTGCTAATGCACCATTTGAGCGAAAAAAAAATTGTTAAGGAAAAATTTTCTGTTAGCGAACCCTTTGTTAAATATTTCGAATATCACCACTGGTTACATGGAAGTATAAAAGAACACACTCTTTATTACATTTCACTTTGTACGAGGGTTTTACCCAATTCCCGAACCATGTTATAAAACCACCATGTTATATGGAAGATATTCCCAATTCTCGAACCGTGTTAGAGTGAATCCATGCTATAGAAGTGCCGTGTTATACTGCTACCTTGACAGCTTAGCCATCTGGCCATCTAAAGGGGATGCTCCATGTACGGATCTACAGGACTGAGTATTCTACTTCTAACCGTTCCGTGTCCTTGGAATTTCGGGCTTTTATACTATCTTCGCCTGAAATCCCACATTTTGGTTGGCCAGAAACAGTGGTCTCTCCTAACTCTATTGGTACCCAATCTGCTGCTAAGGACACTATTTGGACTGTGGAGTTGTTGAACATCCCCACCTGGACCACTCCCCCCGGGGTCGGATCATGCTCTTTCCCGAGCGACTGTCTCATTAATTTCTGCCAATGTGTTTTTTTCGCCTTGGAGAAGACGCAGCTGGGTTCATACGGTCCCAGCCAGCAGAAAATACACCCCCTCTGAAAGAGTGCCTGCATTTTCTGCTTTGAGTTCTGTGTAAGGTGACCACTGAAATTTCCTCAGCGGTCGATCTCCTGCTCTCTCTCACAAACTAAGATTGAGGATGTGTCAATTAGATCTTGAAATGTAACAATTAAATCGTATCGCACCCTGTTTCCTCGCAGCCTTGGTTCTGTTTATGAAAATAAGTCATCAGTTTATTGGCTCTGGTTCGACTGCCGGTCTCTGTCTAAAGGGCGAAGTCCCGGCCTCACACATTATTTGAATTGTGTACTGAAAGTCTGAAGGAGATATGTTAACTTTTGCCATTATATGAGTGTACTTTGCATTAACTCCTGGGAAGCTTCCTAAGAGATAAAATGGATTTAATCAACCACCAAAAATACATTATACCTTACTTATGTAAGTCACTTCAAATATAATCTTTAAAATTAAATTTAACTAATTTTAAATGCTTTTAAAATTAATTATTTTATTTAGTCTTATTAGTAAGATATTTCTTATTTTTATTGATTTTTGTTCTCGGTATTGGAAAAACTGTTTAAAAGGTAAAAAAAGTTTAGACAAAAGTTATAGGGTTTTGAAGAGGCAAGCAATTTGTGACCTTGGATGTGACCTTGATCTTGACCTACAAGGTAATTTGAAGGTCAAGTCTGTTTTTTCAATGGGAATACATATTTTTGACCCTGGCAATGGAAAGGGCAGGAAATTTCACAATCGAGTATACCCTTGACCTTAAGGTCTAGATCAAAGGTAAAGATTATTTTAAGGTTAAAATTAAAAGCTTTTTCTAATGGGAAACCATATTTCTTTTTACTGGAATAAACAGGGAGGTAAAATTTACATTTACATGGAAAGAGAGGGAAATTTCACAATCAGCCATGACCTTGAGTATTCCAAACTCTGAAGGTCATCTCAAGCATGATAATTGTAAGCACGGCTCAATAGATGCATTAAAGTGGAAGGGCATCATTTTGAACATTTGTTATAAAATTTTCCCCCAAAATCAACATCTCAAACAATAGTAAGAAATAAAGTGACTCACCAAAAACAAACACCACGATAGTGAGAGGAAAGAAGACTCACTGAAAATAAGCACCTCAAAGGGAGCAGAAAACTACTGCACCACATCATTACTCCTTGGTAGTGCTAAAAGTAGTGAATGCTTTTAAAGTTCAAAGTAAAGGTCATGAAAAAATGTAATTTTTACCTCCCTGCCTATTCCAGTAATAAAAAGTATGATTTCCCATTAGAAAATGCTTATAATTTTAACCTTTAAATAATATTGACCTTTGACCTAGACAATAAGGTCAAAGGTGCTCTGGTTATGAAATTTCCTGCTCTTTCCATTTCCGTGGTCAAAAATGTGTGTTCCCATTGAAAAAACACTTTACCTCCAAATGACCTTGAAGGTCAAGGTCACATCTGAAGTCACCTGTGGCGACAGCTTTGGCGATAAATTCCAAAGCCGCCACAAGGGGGAACCCCTGACCTGACCTATGACATCATACACATTCTAGTTGGATTTTGGACCTTGCGGACGTGTGTAGTAACACCTCGTGTTTTAACTTGTACAGTCGCGCCATAATTCATATAGAGAATAAATGATAATCTTTTATTGTATGTGGCCCTGTTTGTAATGAGTAATTTCACACGAACTGGTGACCACATCACCAATTGATTGGCCCCTCAACACCCTACAACTTTTGTCTATACCTTTTTCCAAAATAATGAGATCTAATTAAGTTATTTCATTGTCTCAAGATAAAAAATACACCCTGTATATACAAAAATAATTTATCCTTTAGATATGAAAAATTTTAAGTATCATTCAACATTACTTAAGACATGCTTTAGGACCTAGAAAACTAAAATAAATTTGAAATGGAAGAAATTACTTAATGGGCAAACTAAAATCAAGAATAAATTTTGATTTTTCCTAATTTTTATATTTGATTTTTTCTTAAAAACTTTTAAATACATATACTTTATTTTGCAATGTTATGAATTTAAAAAATTCTTTAAATTAAGTAAATTTCAGATTAATTGTTACAGTTGCATTTCATTATCATCATCTATAAGTTAGTAATAAGCATATAAACAATACTTATTACTAACTTATTTCATCATCATATAAAAACAGTTTATCCTAATTTTATAGAGTATATCAGGGGTGGCCAACAAGTTGATCGTGAAGCCAATTTTGATTGATTGCTTGCGATGTCTTGAATTAATGTGTTACACTTGTAACTGAACACAACGTGTGAATGTAACGCGCAAACACAACTGTAGTGATATCGGATCTCCGTGTCCTCTCTGAGATGCGGTTTTGTTGGTCTATGTACAGTACAATCCATTTGCATACAGTTGTAAAAGGGGAATAAGAAATGTAGACAAAGGGTCGTAAAACTGAAAAAAGAAAGACGGGAAGAGGACAGAGAGAGTAGGTCGGGACATGGTAGAGAAAGGAAGGGTGAAGTGGTGGTCCCCAAAAATGACAATATTCAGTTTCAATTTTTCTTCTGTTTAAAATGTAAGTATCTTTTATCTTTTCTTCATGTTTTAAATTAAATTGTGGCTTTTCTTACCTATCTAAACATAGTACGTATTTCACATCTCCCCCTCACCACTTAGACTATGCCTACTACAACAAGTTGATCAGGACACATTTTTAAGATAAAAAGTAGATCTTATGTACACAAAAATTGGCCACCTCTGAAGTATATCATTATTTCAGAGACACTCTTAAAGTGACTTGTAATATTGAGAATTATGTATAATTTTGATAAAATATGTACAGATATTACACAAATACTTATTATATAGTAAGTTAAAAATAATTACTTGAATAGCATTTATTTCAATTGGTGGTGGAGAAGGAATACTTGTTGTACCTGGAGGAGCAAGAGTACTTTCTGATTGAAATGGATCCATTTAGAAATTTATCCTAGAATGAAAATATTTCACTTAATTAAAAAAGCAAATTTAAACTAACTCTAAATTCTTTTAAGTTTATAGAATAAATTTTTCATTATTACAATTATAAATGGTTTAAATTATTCTTGATCTTTGTTTAAAAATTTTGAACATGATATATATTTAAGCAACAAAATTACTTATTAAAGTTTTCAATCTGTTTTACAATAAGGTTTATAAAATCATATATCTAAACATATAGAAATTTAAATATTAAAAAATTTCAAATATTTGTTATTTTACAAATATAATTTTATATGTTATGTTTTATATCATTCAGGTTTTTATATACTTACTGAACATACTCTATTCTACATGTATGTTCTTATATAAGTTGAAGACAGTCTGTAAAACAGGTTGATATGTTATATGTTATGTTCTAATAAACAATTCTGCTGGAAACTTTTTAATAAAATATTAAAATCTGAATCATTTAGTGTATCTCAACCTTTATTTTCATTGTGGACTGGTAAAATTATGGATAATTTTATGAGGACCAGTAATTATAAGCAATTATGAATTATATTTATTTTGCATATGTATATGTTTATAATAGTAAACTATAAAGTACTATTTAAACGTCACTCATAATCAACTGTGCCAGCCAGTGTGGTGGAGTCAGTAAACAAAAAATCTGACTCCAACGCCAACCTTACCCTTTTTTAAAATGTCACACTACTATTCTTTTGATAAGAAAGACACCAGTGTGTATCTGAATATTTTAATGTAAAAATTTCTCTAAAAATGTCATACTAAAATTGATCCTGAGAATCAAAAAAATGGATATAACAAATTTACCCTGAAAAAAACTTTCGAGTACATAAAGAAACACATCTTAATAGCCAAAAGAATTCCACTTAACTAGTAATAAATTCCACTTAATATTAATTAATTATGAAAAACTAATTTAAATTTAATTATTTTCAAGAAAAAAAAATACAATAATATGGAGAAAATAACAATTTAACGAATGACATAATAAATAGGACTGTAAAATAGTTTTTCCCACTCTGACTACAATGGGAATATTAAATTTTCTACCAACAGTTGACTGAACTGAAGTACAGTATATAACAAAATTTAAAAATATGAAATTTGGAAAAAAAAAATAATAATAATAATAAATAATAATCAAGTAGATACTTTATTATTATTATTATTTTTTGTTTTAGAGAAATGATAATCAAGTAGACACTTTATTATTATTATTATTTTTTTTTTTTTTTCACATTGAACCAACAGGTGCAATTGTGCCCAGAGAATTTAAACCCAGTGAATAATAAGCTGAAACAATCCTATTAATTACATTTTACAGTTTTCTCATCCTCTTTTAGTTTGTGAAATTTTGGATCAAAGATGTTCACATTTTTTTAGTTAGTTCTCTTATTGCAGTGGTTGGCAACCCGAGAGGTTTACTAATTTACTTTCAGGCTCCCAAGCTGGTATCAACCCTACAAAATAAACCTATATTGGATACCATAAGGAAATCATTTATATATATGTTTTACATTTGCCAGCTATTCTTACTGGCAGGGAGCATGAATCAGTACAAAGTGAACACCACCAACTGTAACATTGACTATGTACTGCACAATACAATAAGGAAATACAAAAACACAATCAACATTATTTTTATTGTTCATATAATATAAAAATCAACAGTTGTGCTACCCACAAAAACATACTGTATGTTTATAACTCAATGTGAAACTTAACATCCACTCTCATTCACTATTTTTGAAATATCTGGCAAATAATTTGTTGTGCTATCTCAAACAGCTATGGAGATGCTCATTTGTCATTCTGTTTTCTATATTTGTTCTTTATGAAATTCATATTTGAAAATAAGAATTTACATATATATGCAGAGGAAAACAGCAACTTGATTTTTTGTACTACGCTAACTAAAGAAGGGTATTTTTCTCTAGCAATTAATGGCCAAACATCTCACCCATTTGCAAGACTTTGATATTCAAATCATTAAGATTTATTATTTCAAGCTATACTGCAATTCCCTCTTTGTTAAATTTCTTTTCTATTGCTGTTGATAATACTGTTGCATCTAAATTTGAAAATAGAAATGATCCAAACTGACAGATTGGTTCTATTTTTTTAAATTCTGCAAATCTCCTATTAAAGTCCTGCTGTATGTCTACAATTATTCTCAAATGTTTCTCCATCTTAGAGTACAAAGCTGAATGTTTTCTTCTATTTCATTGTTTAAGCATAAAAAATGCTTGAATTGTTTTTCTTTAAGACTGTGTTTCCACAACTTTAGTTTCTCAGTAAATGCAATTACTACAGATATGACATTCAAAATATTTTTATCTTTCACTTGAAGATTTAAATTTGTCATTCAAATGACATGTTGTATCAATCAAAAATGCCAGGTCTTGTCACCATCTTGAATCTGTCAAAGTTGCAACTAATACATCTTGATTGCCTTCATTCATGAAAAAGTTAATAATACCTGGCAATTGTCAAGCGCCAAATCCGACAGAGGGCGCTGTTTTGAGCCAAGATGACTGCCAAAACAGGTAAGGAACCGACCACATGTTTGTTCAATGCCTGAGCCGATTCAGTTTCTATCGGTGACTACTACTGCGAGGACCAAATGGAGAACAAATCATTGAATTTGTCAAATTCTAGACTATATCGGTGACAGGAAATGTTGTCTTGTAGAAGGTGAAGCCGTTTTGGATGCTGGACACATTGTATTTTGTGGATTAAACTCTAACAACAACACTGAAGTTCATGTTGTTGCTTTAGTGTTGCAATCTCAGATATTGGCATTTTAATACATCTCAATTACAGGGAGAATGCATGTGCAAAATGGGGCTGTCTGGTTTTTGTAAACATGTAGCATGTTTATTACACATTAACAGGTGAGAAGTATTTAAATGTTTTAAGCAGTATACACCATGTTCCAATATAAAAATATAGTTTTATTTATCATAATAGTTAAAATTAGTGCCAATCTGAAGGCTATCCTGCTGAGTCATTCAGCACTTATACAACATAGCCAGTCAAAAATTTGTAGCACACTATGTTTTGTGTGTGTGTGTACTGTACATCTCATATATACAAAATGGCTTCACCTTCTACAAGACGTTTCCTGTCGCCGATATAGTCTAGAATTTGACATAAATTCAATGATTTGTTCTCCATTTGGTCCTCGCAGTAGTTGTCACCGATAGAAACTGAATCGGCTCAGGCATTGAACAAACACGTGGTCAGTTCCTTACCTGTTTCGGCAGCCATCTTGGCTCAAAAACAGTGCCCTCTGTCGGATTTGGCGCTTGCTAATAGCTGTGACCTTGTGACACCAATATCACGAGCATGGATCTGCTTGGCATGTCTTGTGAAAAGTTATACAACTCCCAGTCTGATACAATAAAAATGAAAAAAATCCATAAAACAAGAATTTTACATGTCTACTCATGACTGACCGATCAATCGTGAACAGACGTGTAAAATTCTTGCTTCATGAATTTTTTTGACTGATTGCAGACTGCTATCCTACTTATTTCTGAGAACAAATGAAAGTAATGTGACTGGTAAATATACTGTACTTACTGATTATTCAACAGAACAATAAAATTGATTAAGAATGGAAACAAATATGAAAAAACAGTGACATTATATGATAGTGAATTTTTATAGTTCAAAGTGTTATAGCTTACATAGAGCTCATAAGACATGACAAAGTGAAGAGAATTGAATACTTTGAGTGATTTTCTTATTTTGAACAAGCGAGCATGATGAAACAGTCCCAAGGATACTTTCTTAAGCAGACTCAACTATAAATCATATATACCAGGCTCAAAAATGCTGAATGAATAAGAAATGTAATTTTACAGAAACAGTTGCAACAAGAAATTTCATGTCCTAGCTGCTTATATAGAGCCACAACAAATTCTGGCATTTTAAAGAATTACATAATGCAAAACTGTGTTAGGACAGTTTTAAGAAATTACAATATATTCCAGTATTATAAACATGCCATAATGCTTCATGATCATTTCCTGTTTATTCTGTAGTAGCAAATAAAGAATTCGGATATATGATTAAATATACTGTATATACAATAATTATAAACAATGGCCAAGCTCAATTATATTTGGAGGAACTGTTAGTACAACACTTAAAATTACATTTGATATCTTTTGATTAATATTTTCACTTTTTATCAATGCAGTATCTCTGAAAATTGTAGCTTACAAAGTCCTGCTTACTTCCAGACATTATATTTGAGGCTGATTGAAAAGATGGCGAACTTGAGGGCACATGCATCTCCAGTGATAAAGCACAAAGATGATTCACTTAGAACACGTGCTAGGCATGCATTCTTTCTGTTTTTGTTTAAAAATACATGACGACACAGACCACCCAAACATCCCTTTTAAAATGAGGCAAAATGAGTTTCATCAAAAATCCTAAACATTTTTATACGTAAATTGGGTACACTATTGAAAGGTGATATTTTCAACTTTACAGGACAAAAGTCAAATTTTAAATTTAAATGAAACATATTTTTTAATTTAGATTTAGATTAAATTTTAAAAAATAATAATAAATAAAGTAAAATAAAACTTTATCTTAAACAATAAATAATTGTATACAGTACTTGCTTACTGGAGAATTCAACTTAAAAATAAAAAACCATTCAACTATCTGATAGTTGAGTGGTTTTTTATTTTTATCTTAAACATTTATTTATCAAAATATTTAAATTTTTCATAAAATTCACTTCTCTTCATTTTAAAAGGGGCATACAAGTGGTCTGTGTCACTCTGTATAATAATTCATAATGAAATATGAATGTATACAAATGAATAATTTATTTTCTGCAACCTCTTCTTTTTATTTTGAGTTAATTTCAATAAATATAGCAAATACTATGTTTAAATTGAAACTTGGTAAAAAAAAAAAAACTATGCTCATATTTTGAAGCAATGACTATTTTCTTGTTTCTTGTTTAATGAGCATTTTTGGAGTAATAAATTGAAAATAGAGGATTTTTTTGCACTTGATAAAACATTTCAATAAAATTGTTGATTTTCTGTAAGAATCATAATGTAGCAATTAACAAAACTTTTACATTTGAAGAGTGAAAACTTGCAATTATGCAACTCAGATAGCTCACTGGTTAGAATCAGATAAGAATTTGAACTGTTCAAAAATGCAAAAATTTTATGTTTAAATTCAGTTTCCATAACAATGAAACTGAAAATTGCCAGCAAAAAGCTCATGTGCAATGTTCTTGGTGCTTGATCAAGCTTTGCTTTAATGATTTCTTTTTGAATAATGAACTAGAATATAGATTTCATTATTGTCAACATTAGGAAGTTCAATAAACAATGTTTTGTGTTGTACTGATATCAAAATCAACAAATTTTTGGTATTTTTTTGGCAATTTTGCAGTTATACTTTTCTTGACCTGAAACTAAATAACTTTACAGAAAATTAGTGTTATTTTTGCTGATTCTGATAAATCAGCAACTGTTATTTCGACAAGTGTTCTTGGTATTTGTTATGTACACTCATACAAAATGAATATTAAGTATCCATTTGTTACTAAGCCAAATGTTTGCTGTAATTAATTGAGTTAATATTATGCTATAATTAATAATTAGAAACTAAAGAATTTATTACTAGAGGTAGATGTTAGGCACCATCTCTTATGTAAATTAATAATTATAATATTTAATAATTTATTAATTATAGCATAATATTAACCCACTTAATTATGACAATTATTTGACTAAGTATCAATACATTGGGTTTCAAATTGTTGATATACATCCATTTGTTACTCAGAAACTCAGCCTGTAAGATAGAAAACTCATATAAGCCAAAAAGTTTAGAATCCTTTGCAATTGTGACTTTTACAGGTTTTACTTAGTAATATATCTCAAACTAGAAATAATAGACAAACTCTTAGAATTGTGACCAGTCTTTGTCAAATTGCTAAAGCTTAAGGCCGTGACACGCTAGACAATTTCTTGTGGGAGACATTACCAGAGGCCATTTCCCGAGCAGTGGCAGAGCAGTCATCAAGGTGTCAAATCACCTTCACTTTTGGGAGACAAAAAGTCTCCTGTTGCTCATTGTAACCAATGTAAGTACAACTCTCGGTTACAAAAAAATAAAAAATGCAGGATATTCACTCGTGGACGATTGTTAGGACACGGAGTTTAATTTCATTAATCCAATCGTACAAACCAAACACTATTAAAGAATATCATGACAAGGTACTCGAAGATACAGCTTTCATGCCGTTAGCAAAAACGTACAACTACCAGGTAAGAAACGTCAATCACGTAACTTGTCTCCTTGCGTGCCCAATCATCATCGAACATTGACAGGTATTTGCTGCTCAGAGACGCCTTATACATTTAAAGGCCATGCCTAGTGAGTCATGGCCTTTAAATGTCATGCCACAAGAGTGATCATTTTTATTCAGAAGTATCACATCCTGGAAATAAGAATGGCTTCATGTATTATGATGATTAGTGAGTAATATTTGTGATAGTTATAAAATTATATTTCATTATCATAAAATTATACAAGAGAAATTATTGACAATGAATCTTTCTGAAATATTGTCAAATATAATATAAATTAGAAAGAGAATGCTGAATAATAACGTAAAATAAATGTTTTGAGATGTTTTCAAGGAATAAAAATGCTCAGCTGCCATCTTGCAACCATTAAAAGTCTAATTAGGCTTTAATAATCTACAATCTGAAGACAAATCTTTCTGATTAAATTGTATACAAATTCCTACTCAATCTACAAGACGTTTCCTGTCGCCGATATAGTCTAGAATTTGACATAAATTCAATGATTTGTTCTCCATTTGGTCCTCGCAGTAGTTGTCACCGATAGAAACTGAATCGGCTCAGGCACTGAACAAACACTTGGTCAGTTCCTTACCTGTTTCGGCAGCCATCTTGGCTCAAAAACAGCGTCCTCTGTCAGATTTGGCGCTTGCCAATACTAACTTCATATTTTGTAATTTTTTATTTTCCAGCTGTTATATATAACAGAGAAAAAGCACGAAGATAGATAAAAAAATGGTCCTCTAGATTTTTACATTTTTGGACTCAGGAGACCTTGAAACTGAGAAATGCAAAAAAAATTGGGGGTTTTTTCTGTATGTATGGATGTTTGTGTGGGGGACATGATTTTGTTCACCCTCTTAGAAGCTTAATAATGCCTGTGCTTTNAAAAAATAATTTTTAACGATACAATAGTCCTTGTTAGGCTTAACATCGGCGAAAATTCAACGCGAAGCGACACACAACGGAGAAAAATTTCAACATCGGATACGTTAAACTATTTTTTCGTACATAAACCGGTTATCCGAAATATCAGTTATACGAACAACCCCAGTCCCCAATTGATTCGGAAAATCGACGCTCTACTGTATTAGAAAAAAGCTTTTTCCTTCTTCTATTTTATTTCGGGGCTACTGACTTTGTTTTTTTTAATCCGATTTTCTCCACCAGATTATCCTATCAGTCAGTAGGACGAACGTTTCTAGTGCGTTGATATGTTGAGTTCGGATTCGATCCTTGGTAATTTTTCTTAAAGATTAAAGATTCATAAAATTAATACACGTTTATTAAAAAAATAAAAGTATATTATTTTTCATACAACTGTATATTGCTTCTACGACATTGCATTAAATTATTGAAATATAATATAATGTATCTCGGTTCGAATTTATTAGAGTAAATTGAAATTTTTAGCAGTAGATAGGCCTTAAGATATGTTTTTCAGTGAAAAAGATTCCTACTTCACTTAATATTTTCAGCTTTACATTTAAAATTTTTCACTTTACAGGCATTAAACATGCCTTTTTCGTTTTTCATTACGGGTTTGACCATGCCCACAATGGATGGTTGGGTAGTACACCGGTCCGACATATCTATTTATGAAAATTTTAAATTGTTTTCATTTTTTGGGGGGTCTTTCCACCTTGTAAGCGCTAATAATTCCTTTTTTAAAATCCGATCACGATGGGGAAACCAGTGGTGAGGGACCTCCCATAAAAAATTCTTGGGATTTTTCGCCCGTCTGAATTCAATGCTGGATCCCCAGAACGGTAGGCTGATACTTGAATCGACATAAGCCATTCGGCTGTCCAAATTTCTACAATACGAAATCGAACTTGGATCCTTTAGAGAGACAAGTTGACGTCACTACCCTCTCGGTCATCCAGTCGTCAAAGGCTTTATTTTTAACTGTTTCCTTCTTGTAAGCACTAAGAAGACCTTTTTATTAGCAAGATCACTATGAGTTCGGCCAGGCCCATAATTGAACTGTCGAGTGATGAGGAACGGAGCCGCACGTATAGGGATGGTTTGGTTTGGTTTGATTTGTTTAGTAATGGCAACGCAACACTTGGACGATCTGCCTAGGGGGATGCCTTTCAGGAGGTCTTTTTAAGGGAAACTGGCTCCTATTTAGGCGTTACAGACGTGGAGAAAACCCGGAAAACTCCACGTCGCCAGGCCGTCCGAGAGAGGCGCAAACCCACGACCGAACTCCCAGTGTTCAGGGAACGAAGACCGCTTGGCTACTGGTGGGCGTATAGAGATGGACCACACCCGAAAATTCCTCGTGTTTTTCGACTCGTCCGGATTCGATCCCGTGCCATCTTAACTGCTCGGCTGTTAAGATGGCCGTTAATTTAATTAATCCGGCCGTTAATTTAAAAGTTCCCACGCCAGGAATCGAACCCAAGCCTCCTAGATGAAAGTTCAGATATCCTATCCACTAGAACGACAACGGATGGCCCAGAGGATTAAGATACCAGTCTACCACACCTGTGGTTGTTTGAATCTGGGACGGATTGAAAAAACTTCCAGAAATTTTCCGGGGATGGTATTTCCATACATGTCAGACATTATCCCTCATGAACTCTCGCTCCAGTCTGGGCCTGGCCGAACCTATAACGGGCCCCTCTTAGTGCTCGCAGGGCGGAAAAAGTTTTAAAAGATTGGCCACTAAGAAAATATTTCTTAGGAATAATATTTCATAATTAAAGACTAGGTGGCAGTAATATATTATATTTAAAATAAATTTTGAATATGATCTTTTTATATTCTATCTCATTTCATTAAAAATACGAATGTTTAAAAAAACAATTGCATTTCTAATTAAAATTAATCTATTGAAGTATCGCATCATACAGCCTAATATTCCATATGACTCTTAAAATGTTCTAATATCATTTGAAATATTTTCAATGGATATATTCTATTTTTTCATACCAGTTACTTTATTATTGATAACTTGCAATTTAAGCANACGGGCCCCTCTTAGTGCTCGCAGGGCGGAAAAAGTTTTAAAAGATTGGCCACTAAGAAAATATTTCTTAGGAATAATATTTCATAATTAAAGACTAGGTGGCAGTAATATATTATATTTAAAATAAAATTTGAATATGATCTTTTTATATTCTATCTCATTTCATTAAAAATACGAATGTTTAAAAAAACAATTGCATTTCTAATTAAAATTAATCTATTGAAGTATCGCATCATACAGCCTAATATTCCATATGACTCTTAAAATGTTCTAATATCATTTGAAATATTTTCAATGGATATATTCTATTTTTTCATACCAGTTACTTTATTATTGATAACTTGCAATTTAAGCAGATGCGAAAAATATTTTCAAAGTAAATTATAGTTTATATCTTAATTATATAATATGCTACAATATTGAATGATCAAAATCAGTGGCGTATCCAGGATTCTGAGAATATGGATGCTGCTCAAGGCATCGGCGGGCCAAGTCACCTGCCTCCTTCCAATTACCTAGAATTACTTTATTTACATAATCTCACCTAATTGAAGTCGTGCGATATGCGTTGTATTTATCTGAAAGTAAGAAAACTGATTGTTTTGGTATTAAAGATGCTGATTGCAGCACCATAAACACTCCTGTATACGCCCTGATGTTTTGACTAATTCTATTTTATTTTAAGAATTTATTTTAATGACGTTTTAATTAGAAATATTCTCATTTTCAGGATGTCTAGACATGAAATCTGCTCCGTTAGACCATACTTATAAGAATAATACTTATTATACGATGAATAATGTTGAAAGAGAACATTTGACTATGAAAAGTATTCTTCAGTGGGGTGTCTGTATGGGATGGGGAAATTGGAAAATTGATAAAAAATTTGGTAAGTAAGCACACTTTTATATTTTATTTAGTAAATACCGGGTGGTCGCAATTAAGCAGTCTTAATGCAACCAAATCTGGTTTGGTGGCATTTCAAGACGTGCGGAAGACATATCCGCAACAAAAGGAAATAAGTACTAAAATTCACCACTATGGAACTTTTGAAGCTTTGGACTATCCTCGTGAATTTTGTTTGTGGCGACACTTAAAAGATTTTGTTTATTTGAGGACATGTTGCAAATTTGGCAGCCTTGAACGACAGTATCATACTGCGTTTGAGAAGCATCATTGAGAATTAATTCAATCATCACTAAAAATCTTCATTTTCAGAATTTGTTCAGGTTTAAAATAAACAAACGTTTTCAATTTCTGTCAGAAGACATTATCAGGTTTGAAAATTCCAACATTACAATATTAGAATATGTGAGAGCGATTAGACAAAAGATAAACATGTTAAACTTAAGACAAATTGAATGTATTCATTACGGGTTTGACCATGCCCACAATGGATGGTTGGGTAGTAGACCGGTCCGACATATCTATTTATGAAAATTTTAAATTGTTTTCATTTTTTGGGGGTCTTTCCACCTTGTAAGCGCTAATAATTCCTTTTTTAAAATCCGATCACGATGGGGAAACCAGTGATGAGGGACCTCCCATAAAAAATTCTTGGGATTTTTNATTATCAGGTTTGAAAATTCCAACATTACAATATTAGAATATGTGAGAGCGATTAGACAAAAGATAAACATGTTAAACTTAAGACAAATTGAATGTATTTATTAAAAACACCGAAACACATTAACCATGAACAACAAACTGTTGTAACTAAATATACAAACCAATTCAGAAAGATTCCTAGTGACCGAATACGTTGAGCTCCTTTCTTATCACTCGACCGCTCTCATTGTGGACTTGACTGAACTCGTGATGGGTATGAAACAATGTCGTTTTAGTGATGGCCGAATGGCCAGAGTGGTAAAAACATCAGTTTGCCGTTTCAAAGACTCAGGACTAAATCTAGGTCCCCATTCGATCCCGACCACCCATTTTTTTATGAACGGCCTGTCCTAAATATATCGGGTCCCGTACCTCATCACTCGGCTATTCCTCTTGATGTCTAACCGAGCCCATAATAGGTATGATTAAAAGCACCCTTTCGGTATCCATAAGCTAAAAAAAGTTTTTAAAAATTTTCTTCTTTGTTCGTGCAGGCGGAAAAGGTTTAAATTTTTAAAAAATGTTATACTTTTGTAGTTCTGTCAAGGAAAATGTATCTGCTGATTAAAATGCTTTAGAGTTCAACTAGACGACGAGGATATAAAATATTTAAATTGGACTTAAAATTATAAAAAACGTGGGAAGCCATGATTTATTGAATAGAACAATCTTCATTCTCAATTACTCTTGTGTCTAGAGTCTAGAATATTAGTTTATGATTTTCTTCTAATGAAACTTGTAAAGGCAGATAGCAAATTATTGATTATACTAATTTAAGTACTTTTTAAAATGTTTTGTAATTTATTTTAGGTTGCTCTAGTCCTGAATTATCAGAAAACACTATATTAGAATATCCATGTCAATGTAACTTTGGTGGTATGTGCAAAGCTAAGTGTAAACAAAATTTACATATTGAAGAATATATCTATTGTAATAACGATGGTACTTGGACCAAAATTCTCAGATGCCGTAAGTTTATTATTGATATTTAGTCTAATTTTAATTTGTGTTGCAAAACTTTCAAGTTATAGCAACTATTGAAGAATATAATTCTATATAAATAACGTAATTCTAGCTAAATTGAGTTGAAGCTGTAATTTTATTGAATGCTGTTAATATAAAAATTTGTCTAATTATTTGGAAAAACCATAATTCTGATACTGTTCAATACTTATCACTTTTTCTTTTTATTCAAGAATATAAAAGTACGAATGATTATAATATAAATTTTATGTTTTTATTTTATAATGCGCTTACTGATTGATGCAGTAAATATAAGAGATTGACAAATATATATTAGCCTATAGTTTGAAGAAACAGCTAACATGACAGATATCGATGACAACGAGAATTAACAGTTTATATTGTTATATGTTTTAACAAAATAACGAAAAAACGACTCAAGTTTGCATTAAAAAATATTCTTGTATATAGTAAAAAGAAAAAATTGTAATTAAAGTAGGCTATCTTACGGTAAAACCTCGATGTAACGGACTAATTCGGGAGAGAGGGTATTCGTTAAAGCCCGAAATTTCATTATATAATAAAGGTTTTCTGAATATGGCTGTTAAGAAATTGACAGATTAGCTACTTTATCTGATTTTAATTATGTAGATACTTCTTCGTAATTGAAATTACGTATGTATGAGAAGTTTTCTATAAGCAATTGCTATCAATTTTAGCAATGTCTTGCCCCTGTACATCATACTTTTCCTGTTAACAATAGTTATGCCGGTTATCTTCGTCCTGGAGAAAATTTTTGAATTGAAATAATGTTCCGGTGCAAATCGGAAAGTTCTTATCTAGTTAATCGGGCCTCCTGCCTCTAAACTCTATATTTGGTCTCGACTTTCATCTAACACCGTTCTAGAGATTAGGGGCAGACAATGAACACCAGTGGAAATTTATCGATCTGCAGTTTTTGAAAATTACTGCCCAATATGTATTATTTCTTATGTACTCACTGTAGTTCTGAGACTGTAATAAACAAGTATACAATGCGATTTAAATCGTATTAATGACATTTTTTAGGAAATACAAATTTAACTGTATTTCCTAAATACAGTTAAATCTGTATAGTTAAATTTGTACAGTTAAAAACAATAGACATTGTTTTTAAAAAGAAAACAAAAGTTAAATTTGACAAAAACATAAAACTTTCCTATTTATATTTTTTACTTATTTTCGTTGCTGAATTACTTTTCGTTTATAGAATTATTTTTGTTTCATCTACATTTGAATTGTTTTTAGGAAATATTCTTAAAAACTATTCATAATAATTTGAAATCTTTTCTCCATAAAACAAATAATAATAATAAATGTAACTTCTTTTTATAGCTTGATTATACATAGAAAGTTTGAATAAATATACTTCACAATCAATATTATATTATTATAGATGTAATTTTATTTCTTTAAATTATAAAAAGCAACAAACAAGTTGCTTGTATTAATTATTTATTTCTATATAAATTTATTCTTCAAAAATACTGTACTAGTATTTTATATTTATAAATAAACAATGAACAATCATGGATAATTTATAATGCCATTTGTAATTATGTAGTAATTTTAGTAAACATAATTATTGTTTAAATTAGTTTCTTCGTAATTAAAATTGCCCTTTATTGAATATTTTATCTGTCATGTTCTCTATTCTACTCAAATTAGATGAGAATTTATTACATATTAATATTAAGATATACCTTTAGTCTCAAGTTATTTCTGAAGAAATTAACTTAAACATTATATCTGAGCCATAAGAGAAAAATCTAAAAGTTATAATTATTATTACTTGAGTTTAAAAAATATAATCTTTAGGTTGATTAATACAAAAATCAAAAAATTACAATTAAATTTTTTTAATATAAAATTTATTTAAAAGTTAGTACATTTAACTCTTCTGTATTTTAAATTATTAAATGACCTTTATGACTCAAAACACATACTGATTAAATTTCAAAAAATACATATATTAACGATATTTTCTATTAACTACAATGGTACTCAGTATTAATTATTAAATGTAATAAAAATTAAACTGTTTTAAATATGCATTTAAAAAATTTAATTATAAAACATTTATCTTATTGTATTTTAATATTTTTATTGTATATTAATCACATTTACATTTATAATAGCAATATCGTGTCTTCTGCCGATTTTACCTCCAAACTTAGTCTTGATTCAAGCATGTAGTGCAGGAGTAGGTGAGACATGTAGGATAAAATGTGCTAAAGATTTTGTTCTAATTGGAAATGACACAATTCAATGTCTGAAAACTGGAAAATGGAGTAAAATTCCAAAATGTGGTATATGAGATAGTATATATTTCAATTTTCGTAAACATTACTATTACAATATTTTGATATATTTGTTATAAATTATTCTTCCAGTGCCATTGCTTCGACTTTCTACGGTGTTACCTCCAAATTAATCTGACTGTTAGAAATTCTAATTGCAATTTAAGAAATTTCATTAAAGAAAAATTTATGTAATCTCCTATTACTTTTTTAGTTATTTAGAATCACTTTATATATTTATGAAATATAAAATAGTATTCAATTTCATATATAAGATAACAATACAATAACATTATTTCATCTTTAGAAGTAACCTGGAAGTATTTCAGTAATCCAAAAATAGTATTCTCAAAACTCTCAAATAAAATATATTACCAGGATTGGATAGTGGTATGAAGCAGCTAGCATTTTTCCTAATAAACCCTTCTTAAAGCACTTTGAATATTTATCATAAAATCAAAGGGCACAAAAGGTTGTAAATTTTAGATGTACAACAGTATAACTTTTATTCCCATTATTAATTTAATGTACAATGGGGCAGCATTTGCAAATCTTTTTTTTTTACCATCCAGCACTAGATATTACAGTAATAATGCTTTGGAAATTACATCTGAGACAATTATTTACCTCAATCATATGTGTGCTTTCTAAAGTTTCTTTAGTATCAATATGATAATTCATCAGTTTATAAAAAATGAGATCTTCATAAATTTCTTATAGGTATTTTTAATTCTAAAAATATAAATGTATTTGTTTATACTGTTTTGCTTTTATAATATACTAGCCTGCAGCTTCGCTCACATGGATTTTGCAAGCAAACCCTATTTACATTCAATATCTCAACAACCATAGTAATTGTTATTTAACACCTACTGCTGAGAATGATGAGAATTGCTGAGAATCAAACAAACTATTTTCAATTTGATCAATTTTCTGGAACGTTTACAATCGTTCTATAATCGAACCAATATGCAATAACAAATTCAAATTTAAAACAGTTCAAAAATTTGGTTAAAAAATCGAAATATATAAAAATATTTATAACGATGTCTGAAATGTTATCAATTTAATACCCCTAAGTACTCAACAAAGACTAAATGTAATTAAAAACAAAAAAATCGCATCTAAAATAGTACAGTAGAAGCCATTCTTCAGGTTAAGCCTTAATGCTCTCCCTCTCTCCCTTGCAGGGGAATTTCAAAAAATCCCTTCTTAGTGTGCATTTTCATGACGTACCCTAACTGTGTACCAAATTTCACCTCTAGGTTCTGGAATTTTCTCATTGAAGCGTCATACATTTTCAAAGTCAACCACTTTCAAACCTCATATCTCTCACATGGCTGCAGAGTGACATATAGGCACAAACACGTCCATTTTTATATATATACATTGATATATATAAAAATGGATGTGTGGAAAATGTATGACGCTTCAATCCCTTGAAATGAGAAATATACAAAACAGGAAATATAATCACAAGAAAATTTTGACTTTTTTTTTTGTATTATGTAGGTCCTGTAGGTATACAGTAAATTGTATATCTTTTATTTTTATTTATTTGCATCTAAAAGGATATGTGACAAAACTTCTTTTCAGGTGCTTACAAAAACTATGATACAAACAGAATAACTAAATCAAATACATATATATATATATATATATATTGTATATTATTTTTGTATTTGTTATCTTGTTTGTATATGAAAATAAGAAAATTGTCTCAAACTGATTTATTTTCAATATCAAATCTGATATACAGAAAATAAGAATACAGCTAAAGGAATGGCAATGAATCTAATTGAACCTATTTGTACAGTTCTGTAAGCAGCTCTTGTGTAATTTCTCATACAGAATATCTTGAACAGATAATATTGTATATAATCCTGGAATATTATTGCTATTGTATAAATATATAAATCTGTTATTAACTATATATTAAACTATACAAAAATTGAGTTTACAATTAAACATTAATTTATATTTATTTGAAATTTCTGAAATGTTTAATTATATTGTAAAAATATTCTGTAATTTAAAATAATATCATGGTAAAAGTTGAGTTTGTTGAAATTTTAAACATTTGAAAAGGAATCCAAAATTATTGTAACACATTATAAGTCTATGTTAAGTTCAAAAATACAAAACAAAAAAGCTTTTTTTAAATTAAGATGTTTATTAGAGAATGTACAAGAATTTATTTTTAACTTAAGTAGAAGAATATGTACATATATAAAAAATTAAAATATATACCAAATTATTATAGTTCAAAATTTTTACATAAGATATTTTTACTTTTTTTGCATTTGATTAATATTTAAATTCATTTCAGTATTTAATAAATTAGTTCAAAATTTGAATTGTATGAAAGATTTAAAACATAGTTTTTTAATCAATAAAAATTTGATTAGTTATATTAATCAAGATTCCTGTCATTTTTAAATTCAATACAGAATTATAAAATACAATATGAATATTTCAATGTTTACAATGATAAATTACATTATACAACAATTTTGGTGCTTTATCAAAAGTAAATGACTGAATTTTTAGGTTTGTGTTTTAAGATTGTCAAGAATATTTAGATAAGTTATTACTTTGATATGATTTTAGATCTTGAATCTGCCTTAAAAGTAAAAAGTCTACTTAAGAATAAAACTTAAAATATTTCTCATTTTCTTTTGATAAGTTAGCAAATCAAATTTTATTAATGACAAATTATCATTATATAAACTATAACTGCCAAATTAAATAGTATTTTTTCATTATCTTTAGCTTTTTCTCAAACTTTTCCAACTACAACTCCTTTTAGTATGTATACTTCTTATATTTTTTTGTTTCAAAATGAATTTTTCTCGTCTTACCTCACCACCCCCTACCTTCCAACACTGTCTGAGACACTTGGGAAATTGCTCACTTTGAGAATCACTGTTCTATAGCATTTAGTTACATAATATACTGTATAGAGTGAATCTGTATAACATTTTTAAAAAAATTATTGGTTTTTCTATCTTGCTTTACATGATTTATTTAATTCTAACTACTTTCATATTTGAATGATAAAAATAATAAATTTAGGAAGCCAAACCACCACCATAGTTAATTGGGCTATTAATATGCTATAATTAATAATTACAAACTAAGTAATTTGGTACTAGAGATAGATGTTTCTAATTATTTACTTAAACTAAATTACTTAGTTTCTAATTATTAATTATAGCATATTAATAGCCCGATTAATTACAATGATCGTTTGGCTTTGTATGGATATATTGGACTTCAGGAAGTTGATATATGTAATAAATTCAGACTAGAAACTAGAAAGCATAATCTCTAATTGCTACAGATATTTTTCAGCTGCCAGTAAGCATATTTTCTACTTCACCTTATACACATGTATCTGTATGAATATTTAGCATATATATTTATCCTTTACATATTTTGTTAATTGAATATTTTTAAAATGATTCTTCAATATAAGAAAATTAATTTGAAATCACTGACCCAAAAAAAACAAACTGATCTTACAAACTGTCTCTATTAATTATTTTTCAAACAAACAATACACCTTTAATAGTGAGTTACAGTTTAAAGAAAATTAATTATTTTCAAATTTTTGGGTGTAAATTTGAAGTTAAACTGTTAATAAGTCGAAAAATTTGCATATATTCAAATTGTTATCCACTGTTAATGGTGCTTTATTTGATTTATGTAAACAGCAGCAACTAATTCAACTTTTTTTCAGAAATAGTTTTTTGCAATCCAGCTTTACTTATACACAGATCAATAAATCCTTTAAATTTCAGTTATTTTAGTTATTATTTTAGAGTTAAACAAAATAACTGAAATTTAATGAATCTTGTTAAAAACTTGTTAATTTGATTTCTAATAACTATAGTATTTTAATACTCAAATATATTGCTACTATCTCACTATATTAAAACATTAAAAAATTATTTATTTTACTTCTAGAACAAAAAATTTGACTTCATTTTTTGTTTACAGGAAGCCATTGACATGATTGGTTTAAATAACCATTTGGAACAATATTAATATTTATTAAGCATATTACATTTCCTTNATTACCTTATTCAGTTTGCAATATGCTCAGCTTATTTATTTCATATATATAATATATGAAATAAATTTCTCTCCTACCACAATGTTATAAATTTTTGATACACCACCAACCTCATTAAACTGTCAAATTCATGACTGAACAAACTGTGGCATCTTAATGAGGTTTGACTGTTAAGAATTTTAAACACTGATCGAACTATTGAAAAACCTTTTATTTATAAAACATTAAAAAATTATTTATTTTACTTCTAGAACAAAAAATTTGACTTCATTTTTTGTTTACAGGAAGCTATTGACATGATTGGTTTAAATAACCATTTGGAACAATATTAATATTTATTAAGCATATTACATTTCCTTTTGGCTAGTATTCTATTGATTTAATCTAATCACCAAATTTTTTTCTCTGAATAAACTAAATTTAGTTTTATACCATATCTTATGTATCTTACTGAAAATATTTAAACTATTATTGTACGAGATCTGTCAATTAAGTCATGACAATAGAATTTTATTATACAAGTCAGTTACATGAATTCCTTCTATATAGTCTCTATCATTATTTTAAAACTTTTTGCCAATTCTTTAGAAGTTAACTTATTTCATCTGCATAATTATTATTCTAGATATATCATTCCAACTGTTCAAAAGCACAAGAGATCATCTGTCACTAAACAGTTTTAGGGTTCTTTGATCTTTGCAAATAAAATTACAGGAGCTCATATATATATTAGACAAGTTGGAGGACATTCCAGTATTTCATAGATCTAGCTGCAAAAAATGTTGTAAACTTTGATACATACATGACAGCAAGCATTATCATCATGCAAAATGATTAAAGGCTTCTTTCTCAGGTTATTTACGATATAGTTAGACAAATGTAACGCTCTAGAAATTTTCCATAATTATTGGCATATTTGTCCACAAGGTTAATCAAAGCGAGCAAATCAAAATGTCTCCACTCATTTGACTGTTATTTCAGCTTCATTTCATACAATCAAGTTTCATTTATAACAGTAATTTCCTTAAAAATATACATCTCTTCCTTATCATAATGCTCCATATGAATTTAGGCACTAGCATATTTAAGCATCAAATGACGTAGAACCCAGCAAGATGCAATCTTCTGCAATTTCTAGTAATCTTTCAATAACTGTTTTAACTTTTTCATGACCTGTACAGAAAACAGCTCATGAAAAAGTTTAAACAGTTATCTCAACTCAGCAATTTCAAGATAGTGTCTGGTTTCCACAAGCTTCCTACAATTCCTTAAAACAAGTTTTGACCTTTTTTATTATGCGAAACCTGGATCCAGCTTGTTTGTTCTAATTTAATGTTTTTATTTATGTATATAGATATCAATATTACTATTTTCAGTGACATATGTCACTTGAAAGGAATAATATTGATGTCCATTAGCTTTTACAATAACTAGAATTGAACAAGTTTATTCCATCAAGAATTAAGGTTTTGTCATGACTTGAATGGCAGCTCTTGTATTATATCAAAATTGCCAGAAATGAAAAACAAGACAGAATGCTTTGTTAATATAAAGTTATATTTTAACATAATTTATTAACATCTCATTAAAGTTAGTCACTTTTGTATTTTTGAATGTTTCTTAAAAAAATTATTTCTGTAAATTGTGTATTACTTTATATGTAATAATTTCTAAACATGCATTTTTTTTTTTTTTTTTGTTACATATTGAACTGTTGAAAGATATATTATGAAAAGATTTAAATTTCTTGATCCATTTTACATTAGAAAGTACTTTTTGCTTAAATAAAGCTGCAACGGGAAAAAATGTCAATCATTTTTAAATAGATTATATTAATCGATTAAGATTAGAATTCTTCGGTAATTGAACAAGCCTCGTCTCAATAAATTTTATATTCTAATAACAATTAAACATGGAATATATAAATGTGTATTTTTCAAATTTCTTACCAGTAGACTACATATGAAAAAGAGTTTCGTGCAAGACGCATTCATCGGAGAATTATGGTAAAGATATTATTTAGAAATTTGATCGGAATCTATCCCTGATCCAAATTAATATTCGGTCCTGTATACGGAATGGAATCACACCAGAAGTCTGTCGGGGAGGATATTTCGGCCAACCAAGAGATTTTAGTTTTGTCATTGACGTCTTGGTCGCCGACGTGTTGATAATAATGGCAATCCGTTTCGTTCATGTACGGAGGAGCAAGAATATCTAAAAATGCGGCAATTCCTCCTACAGAATGAATTTCGTGCAAGTTGCCTTCAGTGGGAGTAAGGACGCACGGTTCGGTATCGGTAGACACCTCTATGTCTTCGTTCCTCTTCGAGGGTAGGAGCAAATGTCTTTGCCACGTGGGAATTTTATGAATTATCTCCCTGGGAATTCTTCCTATTTTTTCATTTAAATTCGTGCGGTTGTAATTTATAATTTTTACTTTTCCGTGTAAAACTTTCAACAGTCCGTACATTCCTGGATGATCGTGAAGAGGAATTCTCGCTCCGTTCCTGACTATAAATATTCCCATGGAAAATATCTGATTTTCAAATAAATCAACGTAAGTCACGGGTGCATTCTTCTCTACGGAGTTATCTTTCGTAAGTTTAAAAATATCTCGACTTAAATTAACGTCCGATAACTTAATATGGCCTAACATGATCCTTAATTTTGCCAAACAGTCTACGAAGACGTCTTCGTTAAAATTTCTGGAGAATGTTTGTTGAGCTTGACGCGCTATCATCTCCACCAAAGACGCCATTTTTAATTCATTTTACTTTACAGTGCTGCCATATATTGAAGTGTTTTAGAAATATTTAAAATAGTATCGATTTTATTTAAATTTCAGCTTATAAATATCAGATAATAGATTTTAAATAATAATATTTTTATTAAAATATAACTTATCTAATTTAATATTCTAGTTTATCTTCAATGGCGGTAATGGACTTTTTTTGGGTCTCTTTTTTCTCCCTGGGGTATTAAGAGGGCCTCTTTTAGTATGCCGATTATGGGTTCGGCCAGGCCCACAATGGGGCGGCCGGGTAGTGGGAAATGGGGAGTTTTCGTTAAAGGCAAGAAAACGTAGTAAAAAATTAATAATTAAATCTGCATATACATTATTACAGTAATATGGGATGTCTTCGGGATTACCGAGAACTCTCTGAATCAGGAAGAAAAGGGAATGATGAGAATTATATACATTTAATTATGGAAATGTATAGAGATGTTAAACCATGTGCTGAGATAGATTTAAAGCATAGATTTAAAGTGTTACAAAAAAGGAGATTTAAGATTTAGGGTGGCTTTGGAGTTTATCAAGGTTAAGCCCAGATCTTATTTTTTATTTATTAATATTGTATTAGGTAAATTATTGCAGTTTGCAGTGAGAAAGGAGCTATAATATATGTTATTCATAATTTGTATTGTGTTTATTGATGAGATAGAGAGAGATTAAAGTTGAGCCAAAAAAAGTTAGGAACAGATTAGAGAGGGGAATTAAAAATCAGTAGATTTAGTTCTTGAATTTCAAATATAAGCTGTTAGAGGAAAATTAGGAAATTTCAACTACTTGGACAATATATTCAGCATATTTACAGACACGTAATAACTTAGAGGTAATTAGAGGATGATGAGTTAGAGGTTTGTAAATAAAATAGGTAAATGTAGGAGGGCAAGAGTTCAGATGGTATTATTAGACAGTGATAGTAATTAGTGATGACATGAAGTCTAATAGACATGTTAGTGAATTTTTAAACCTATATAAACAAAGTAGGCCATCAATAAATCTTTATTTATATTCTACTATTGATAGTACAGAATATTATATAAATTACCAAAATATGTAGATCCAATGGGAATGTCATAAGAAATGCAATTTCTCATGTCGAAAATACAAAACTATTTCATCCCAAGTACTATTTCTCACTATACTGAATCCAATAAAACTGTATAGCACACTTTATGTAGTGTTAAAGTTACAAACTATTTTTTAAATAATTTATTCTTTATCTGGATTGAATTTCTATGGCTATTTAAATGTATTAGAGGATAAGCTATGGTTTTCCTAATTATATTGTCATACATATGCAATAAAACAAAACAATAAAATGCAAATTTATATATTTATTTTACCATTATGTATTTATTAAACAGATATTTTATCCTCAGAACATTATGTACTGTACAAAACTTTCATTCACAAATGTAGCAACATAACAGTTTTAAACAAATCTATATTTAAAACCTGGATAAATTTTATCGAAAATAAAATTATTATTGATTTATCCACATCCTCATCTGTAATTTCAATTTATCATCTTATTAAATTTTTTATAAACCAAATATACTTTTTCTTTCTTTTACATGATATAAAATTTTTTAAAAATGTAATTACAAATAAGATTTTTTGACAAAACAGCAGAAAAAAGTTACAAAAATGATTGAAAACGATAAAACTACCTACTAACCAAATAGATAAACCAATTTTTTTTGCCACAGTGCGACTCTAACGCCAGCTGTCGGCAACCTGACACATTAACTCTACTTGAGAGCATAGCTCTAGGACCAATATATCTATCGACTCTGGTTTTACTTTATGTAAGAAATTACCTTATCTAGTACTTGTTAATTTGTTAATAGTTTAAAACAAAACGATTCCTTATTTGGACGATAATGGCGGTGCATGCAGTTTCGTTATATAGTGTACAAAGTTTAATTTTTTAATTAACTTTTTTACACTGTATAAAATATCCGTTTTGCACATAACTAATCAACCAGCGCTGTAGTCGTGCCAGACGTACTAAGTGGCGCCCTGGTTCTTTTTGTTTTAAGCAGGGAGAAGCGCTTATATGTACTGTACTTCGTGAAAATCTAGGCTGTACTTTAAACTATGTACTGTACTTCGGCCAAAAAACTGAGAAAATTCCTTCTTGCACAGTTTTTTTTGCTGATGAGGAATATATAGATTATTTTTTGGCACATTTAAGCTATTTTGCAGATATTGCGCCACATACAAGTTGCGCTTTGCCCATACAAAACGTCATAAACGGTGGCGATTCGCCGGTTATCGCTCTGGTACCTTTTAATTTACTATTACACCCTTGCAATCAACATCATTGATTTAAAGCGTTATAGAAGCATTGAATTCATGAGTGACTGTTCTTTGTATCCTACGTTGTTTCTACGACAGCCCTTTTTTTGTGAGAAGCCAAGGGTATAGGTGTGCTACCTATATCACTTACGGGCACACAATCGCAAGATTGGCTCACTAAACTTTTTCATGGAGGGCTTTTTTATAATGTTAAAAGAAGGGTCTAGGGGATGAATCCTAGATCTCGTCAGGATCCTTGACACCAGTTAATCAGTTATTTTACACGCGGATTAACACGCGTTATCCCTAACTTGTGAGTAAGAGGAGCTAAAGAAATTTAAATACAAATAAGTATGAATAGCCAATATTAACCAAATCATTTTTATATGATAAACAAAACATTTAATAAATCAAAATATAAAAGTATACAAAAAAACGAATCGAAACCTAAACCTAAACTACTAACTTAACCTAATCTTATTCTAAACCTGACGCTTGAAAGAGAGTTCACATCATCTAATTCTGATCATATTACCTTCAATTTCGAATATTTCTCTGTATGAGGGTCTTCTTCTTCTCTCGATATTCTTCTTCTAACAGTTTCTACGGAAAGTTCGTTAACTTCTCTTTTAACAATCTTGACGTATACTTCGTTTATATTGCTATATATTTATAACTTTCAATTAACTGATTCGTATGACAAACGTGTATGACGGTATCTTTCTTCGTATGGCAAATCTCTTTCCGACGGACTGCCTTTATCTTATGGCTAGCTCTCTTCGTGTGGCAATACCTCCCTTCGACGGACTGCCTCAAATGGCGGGAAAACATCCCTTTTATTTGCTCTCCAGTAACGTGTGCAAAACTCATGCGACTCATCATGAGTCGGCCTGGGAAAGGAAATCGACTTCCTTTCAAAATCGAAAGTTTCATCCGTTTTTTTGTAATATTCGTTAAAGTTTAAAAATATTATTTTCTCTTAATTTTATAATTCTTTTTCTCTACTTTGTTAATTTTCAGAATGACCCTCTCCTGAATTTCCAGATTCTCACATTTTGCAAAAATGTTGTGTTGTTGTATATCATGGTATATTTTGTTTGAGATGCATGAAGTGAATTTTCTGTCCAGTGTAGGAAGGCATGTAGTTGGTTTGTATTATGTAGGCTATTTGGTGTTGCTGTTTTTAGATTTTATGTTTGTGATGCCCTGTGTAATAAATTTAGGCATGTCTTGTAGATTGTTAACGGTATGTGTAAATTATTTGATTAGATCCCGGTGCAGAGATATAAATTTTTTATCAGAAATTGTACTACGCAGATGTTTTCTAACTTTATGTATAAATAACACAAATTTTATATTGCCTGTTTTTGTAAGCATGGTCTTGGTATGCTTATTCTCGACTGATGTCTCGTGCATGTTTTCTTCTTTCTCTTTGATCTAACTTGCTTCATTGCTTCATTTGTATGACTGAATTGGACCAAACAGTAAACCAATAGTCTGTGACTTGTTTTTCTGTTGGCCTGCCATTGTACTATGATTGTGTGGTGTGTTCAGCATGAAGGAGTCTGTAGAAAAGTGCATCATTGTGGATAATTTATTTTCTTGTGTTCATAAAGTACAGGCTTTGTATCGTTTCAGTTTTTGCACTTGTTAACGTATTCCTGTACATTAGTATTGTGTTGTGCATTCTATGTGTGTTTTAATTTTTCTGAATATTTTCTTAACGAAAATATTTAGAAAAATTACGCCATACATAACGCCATACATAACATATTTCGTTATGTATGGCGTTATGTGCTTTCAGTATATTGTGTTAATCTGTCTAATTGTTGCCTAATATTATTTATTTATCTTTCTAGTCTTCTTTGACAGGTAGGCTATAATTTTTCTGTGTTTTGATTGTCTTTGTGATTGTAGTTTAAGGCCATGGTAACTAAGTGTCTGCACCAGAATAAATGAATATATATAAAGCTGTCTTAAACAGTTGATTCGGGTTGAATGCGTATTGGTAATACGTTCATATTCTGTTAGGCCTAAAGCCCTATATTTATGAATGTTTCTTGAAATAAATTTACATCATAGTTTATTCAGTGTCTGTAGTGTAATTACTGTAGTTGTAATTGTTGTATGTTATGTACAGTACATTTACATGAACGACTGCTGTTGAGATATTGTCGATGGATGTATGATCAATAGTGTGATCTAGTGTATCTGTTGTTTGATATGTTCAAAGGTTATTTGTGGAATAAAGTAGTAAATTTTCTTCTTATCTAGTCAACAATCCTTAATTTGAAACCATTTCTTTTATAGTGTCATGTAGGTATTTTTGTGTGAATTTGTCGTTTAGTGTTTAGTCTGTATGCTGTCATGTCTGTTTCGACCTGGATCCTCAGTGCCAAATCCTTAACCCGTCTCGGAGTACAAGAGGTATCAGAATATTGGAGGCTAGAAAATAAGTGATTTCTAAATTATTTTTGTTCTGCATTTATTTATTAAATACTTATTATAAACATTTATAAAATATTTATATTTTTCTACTAATAAATTAATATTTATAAAATACATAAGTAATTTATTTAATGGTAAACATTTATTTAAAATTGATTTCAAATATGGATTAAAGTTTATATTTTAATTTTTAATATTTTATATAATTATTATTTAAATATTTATAAGTTT